CCTTAAGTGGGACTAGAGGTCAAAATGGGCGTCTGGAACAAAAAGTGCAAAACAAAGGAAATGTTAGTCATGAATTGTGTTTGCACAGTCACTGAATCACTTGTGTGTCAGTGAGTGTGATAGTGTATGTGCACATTTTTGGGTGCTTTTGCCTTGCCAAAGGAAAAATGGTTTTGCCCAAGCAGTCCTCCCGTCTATGTTGCCATGGTTGCTGTTGACACAGTGTGTGTGGGTGAGTGTGGGTGTGTGAGCAGGGGTGTGTTTGATTTGTCTCTCCAGCCTGAGTCTGCTTGTCTTGCACCAGCTGAGAGTCAGGGCTGTTGCATAGGTCTAAAAATGTTCAAATGTAGTCTGCAGACACAGATGCATTTAGCGTACTATAACACAAGTTTTAAATAGAAAAGTGTTGTATAATAAATTTCTTTTCACTGCAAGATTGTATGTTCTAATTACAGATTATGACTGAATGATTATTGAAATTACAAAGAATTTGCAATTTACAGTTATTTTCATTATCATGTATTTTTTAAAATGTTAGAAAAAAAGCAAAAGAAAAGGCCCATTTCTCTGCACTTTTGCTTAAAAAATTACTTACTGATTAATCAAAATACTTGCAGATTAATTGCACAATATCACAAAGTGAACTGGATGCAAAGCAATGTTTTAGATTTAGTGGTGGAAGTAAATTTGAGCTATATTGAAAACTGAACAAAAAGTTTGAAATATTAACTATTGGAAAATTTAAGTTTTCAAGTTAAAATTTTGTAAAAGTCCCATTCATTCATGTTATTGAGAAAATAATATAACCCTGTGCAGTGGTGAACTGAACCAACTCCCAACCTTTTTGATTTCTGTGGCTGAATCATTTGAAAATGGGGAATCATGTTTGTTTTATACTTTATATAACCTAATCCATCAGTATCAGATAGACAGCCAAATTAACCCTTACATACTGTTGGGTCAAATATGACCCGTTTTGACATTTGACAGCAGTAAAAATACCCCAAATGTCATTTTTTTAGCCTGAAATTTGATTACTTTTCCTAAAGTGACCCAAAATATACCAAAATGCACACACATTTTTTTTATACTTTTGTACAAGTGCTTCTGGGTCAAATTTGACCGGTATCTATTGAAATGGAATTTAGATCCACCAGTGTGGGTCAAATCAAAGAAAATGGGAATCTTGAAACTGTGAAAATGTACATGTCATGTCTGTGTGTATTTTTTTATGTGACAGTGGTGACTGTGTTCCCACCACATTTGCCCAGGTTCCCACAGAGACAGGCACCTGCTTGTCTTTGAAGGGTCATGGGGGAATCTCGAAACAGTGAAAGTTAAACAGCATAGGAATGATTATATATGGTGCACATAAGGAACAGACGTCATACAATGTCAGAGGGTGCCTTGACACTGACTAGAATCCATTTATTCCGAGCTAACTGAGATCAAAACAGAGGTCTTAAGAGAGAGAATTAAGAATTTAAAGACATATTAATCAGACCAATCAAAATTAAACAGCAACCAAGCACAAACTGAAAACAAACTCCTCCAGGATCATCTAGGAAATGGAGTTTCATCATCAGTACAGGCCCAAAGTTACTGTGCCGAGAAGATCAGACAGTGTTAGAGTCTGTGTGGCTTCCACTGGAAACAAAACACTTACTTGTATAGTGCAGCATCACTTTTTGAGACATTATATAAATGTCCATAGGAATAATCTTTTAATGGAATTAGCAATTATTTGTTCACATGATCTAATATTTAAATGTCAAGGCCACAAAGATTCACTAATGCCTATTTTTAGTAATGGGTTGTTTTAGATTTTGTAAAGGGCTTTTCTTCTCAGATGGAAAATATAATAGACAAATTATATAATAGGCAACTGTGTGTTATTGAGTTACATATTTCTGACTGCGGGAGCCCACACGAGCTGTTGAGAGTAACTACAGTAGTTAATAAGCACAAATCTCCCCTCTGTTGGAAAATGAATGGCTTTAGCTCCATAATAGCCTTAGAGGTCAGTTCATTGGAACAGTATATTTCCAACATCTTTTTCTTTAGCATGGGTGACATGACCTTTTGACTTTAATGGCCCCATAAGGAAGTCTCAAAATCCTATCCCGCAGTGGGAACACACCAGAGACACCTTGTCGACTGCTGACAGTTGCTGTAGCCATTTTTAAGCTCAGGTTGACATTCATATCGGCATTCACATTCTTTCTCTCTCTCTCTCTCTCTCTCTCTCTCTCTCTCTCTCTCTCTCTCTCTCTCGCTCAGTCGCTCTCTCTCTCTCTCTCCCCATCTCTCTCTCTATGTGTCTGTCTCTCTCTATCAGGCAGTGACAACTAATACCCTTTTTGCTAAAATATCTTGTTATTGCTTTATGTGAGTGTTTGGATTTTAATGCTGTGCTACTACTGGACAAAATTTCATTAAAATTCAGTTTGTATTATGTTTACAGGCCGGGGGTACAGTAAAGCTCGAATTTAGCATGTCCGAGATTAAATCTAACGCTGGGACCAATCCGATATACAGTATGTGGGACAAACAGCATCAAGCAATACACTGTTTTATCCCATGTAGTTTGGCACAATACTACTCAGGATCCCACGGCAGAAAGACTTGCATGGCTGTGACCATGTAGTGCCATAATCTTTGTCTAGTCTATTCCATAACTAAACACATTCATGTTTTAGTAAAGGCCACATATGAACCAAGGTAAACTCACCAGTTCAAATGGTCTCAATATACCAGGTGAAAACCAAAACTGCCAAAAATTTAGGCCCCTCCTTTTTGAACCTGGTATTTTATTATATAAAGTGATATTCCACCCTGTCTTCACCATGTTCAGAAAATCCCACAGTCCCACAGATTATCACAAAACATTTCTAAGTGATTGACTAATCATTTCAACTCTGTAAATATATGATTGAAATGCTTAATAATGTTTAATTGCGGTGTTAATTGTAAACTAAATCAAACATGAACAATGCACTTTGTTGTGTCAGTATGGACAGCAGAGAGCTGCACAGTTCATGTGCTCTCATTTTAGGGTGGAACTCGGCAACATGGCATTAACTGCAATCAGGAGGAAAGACGTGTTTCCTGTTAGGCACCCACCCTCTGCCCATTGTACCCCAGTCACTCAACACTGGGCCCCAGTGGATGAGACCCCCCCACACAGCACGTGACTTTGATATGGAGACAATGACCTGGAAAGGCTCTGGAAGCTTAAAATGCTGCCTGGCGAAATGTTTGGCTCATTATGTCATTCATGTCAAAACCCAGACTGTCTCTTGTTAGACAACACAGTTGTTTAAACAGCCTTTAAAAATCTTAATTACAACATTCAGAAACAAAACAAAACATCCCCAAATTGGCAAGTTTTGATAAAAACTGAGGATTTAAATAAAAAATGAGAATAAATGACTAAGGATGTTATGCGCAGTTTGGCAGCCCCTCTCAGAGGAGGCAGAGTTGGCCTCTACTATGTATACAAACTCTCTTTCACACACACACACAGACACAAAACAGCAGCTGCCAGTACCTAGTTTGGAGTTAAGGCTCCACTGAATGTCTATTTGTAGAATGATGGAGTAATGTAGAAGACTGTTATACTTAAGGTCTTGGAGATGTGTTTCAGCTGGGACACACACACACACACACACACACACACACACATACACACACACACGCACGCACACACACAGGACTATAACACAATAGTTTTAGTTTTGACACTTGTGTTCATTGTCTGTCCCTTATAGTTTTGCAGGATGAACACAGCGGTTGTTCTCCAATGGAGCCTCAAACTTGTTTGTTTCACTGGAGTGTATTTCCAGATCTGGCTTCATGTTTTGATGGTTTGGGAAGTGGCCGTTAATTTGAGATGCCAGTTGAGTGTGACCACATGAAGAGCTATCATTTACCCAGAGGACACACAGATTCATGGGTTTAGAGGAATGCCAAAGCTTAGCCCAATATTGGATTTCTAACGTCGATGATATTCAAGTCGTTCTGTTGACTCACTTGGAGAAGACTCATCCCATGTTTCCATTATGTCCTGAGTTTGAATCCTGTCAGGGACCTTTACTACCTAAAATAGGAAGTCCATTAATAATCACATGACATTGTTTATCATTCGAGGGGGTTAAAGTGTATTTGGAAACAGTGAACGTGAATGTGAAAGCGTGCATAGATTCCATCTCAGCTAGCCAGTGTATGTTCACTTTGGCATTCAAAGCCAAATGTGGCACTTGTTAGTTTGTCACATACCAAACTCTTATTAGATTTTTGGATGTCCTGCTACGTAAGTAGGTGAACAACACAAGAGGAGCAAAGGAAGGAGATATTATGTTGGTGGGTGATGGTGAAACAAGAGCAGCATGCATGCAGTTGAAATGGTCAGATGCAGGATTCAGGTTTTTCCAACCAGTGTCAGTTACACTATAAATAAAATTCAACAAACAGCATTGGCTTCATATCAGGAGGGTGACACAGATTAGACAATATCTAGCTCCAATTTCAACCCATGTATGTTTATCTAAACATACTGCTACTTGATTTCCTGTTTTATTCTATTTATTCAACAATGTCAAACACATGGTTGTTATTTGTCCTTTTCCTTTTTATATTGGCTTTGCAGTGCAACATTCCCACTTTGCGCAATATTGAGTTGGAGCCACGTTGTTATATCTCCCAGAAAGCTGAGACTTCCAGCTGTTTACCACGCAAATACAGTCATATGCAAATTGATAGCATGGGTAGATATTAGCCAAAGACTGTTTGTGACACAGAACAGTGTGTGTGTGTGTGTGTGTGTGTGTGTGTGGGTGTGTGTGTGTGTGTGTGTGTGTGGGTGTGTGTGTGTGTGTGTGTGTGTGGGTGTGTGTGTGTGTGTGTGTGTGTGCGCGTCATGGCACAGTGACCTCTGTCTGGACAGGCCTCAGGGTGGGCTCTTTAATTTCAGTAACCTTCCCAAGAATAGACAGCGAGTGTGACAGGAGGGCAGACTAAGTGTATGTGTATGTGTGTGAGAAAAAAAAAGAGAAAGAGTTGATGTGGGAATGAGGGAAAGAGGGAGTGTGTCCGTGAGAGAGGGTGTGTGTGAGGAGAGAGAGAGGAGAGTACTCCCAGCGCAGTCTGGTCAGTGGTTCTGTCTCCTTCTTGCTCTGTGGATTACAGCTGCCACTGCTTACTGGATTCCCCTTCTCATTACTGGAAACTACCACTGAACCAGCATAGAGGATTTTTATTGGAGTATTAGAAGTTTTGACAGCAGTTGGTTTAATACAAGTGTTACAAGTGTTAAGTGTTGGATTTTTGCACTTATTTCAAAGTGTTCATTAGAGTGTTCATTAGAGTCTGGAGATGAATGGTCGTTCCTTGCCGCCCTCTATACCTGAGGATAGGGAGGCCCTGGACCATTTTCCTCATGAGGAGATGAACGGTTACCACCAGAGGCTTCAGGGTGGGGATGTGGGAGAGGCTGAAGTCCCGGTATCCAAGTCCCAGAGGAGGAAGAGCGATGTTAAAGTCTATAAGGAGTTTTGTGATTTTTACGCTCGCTTGTAAGTATACAATGTCGTGGACAGGGGTAAGAGCACTGCAGTTAAGTTTTCAACCTAAAAAAAGGTTTACGATTATGACACTTGCCCTTATGAAATCAATTCTGATTACTGGAATTTGCTTCCTAAACAGTTAGTGTCTTTATGATTACTTTATATATGAGATGTTTCACCAGAGAAATCCTACCAGTGTGGTGTGAAAAGATTTTACTCAGCAGCCTGTAAAACCAGCAGTAAAGCCTGCATCATCCTCTTTAAAAGAGCTCTAGTCCAGCCAAAAGGTATGCCTGTTGGTATGCCTGTAGGTGTATAGATATATATGAAAGTGTCAAGTCTAATTCTCTTGGACACTCCTCAACTTTAAGTTGTCATCATCATCATCATCATCATCATCATTATCATCATCATCATCATCCTACTAAAACCCACTTCTCGTTTTAGTCTAACTTTATTTCTGATGGCCTGTCATGGACCAGGACATGAGCTGTAGGTTGTTTCTCTGGCTTGGTGCTGTGATGGTTTTGGATTATTTTCTACATCATTAAATTACAATCGAAGATTAAGAATAATACAGTTAAACAGATGACAGTGCAGGAAAAATGGTATGTTATAGTGGAGGTGTGTGTGTGTGTTAAGGAATTCATAGACTGACACAGTATTAGTCAGTATACTCTAATCTTACTGTGGTGTTAGAGAATGTGAAGAATCCTTATATTCTAACACCTGGATTTACCCAGCCAGTTTGACTTGCTTAAGCTGCCTTAGGTGTCATGTTTGTCCAGGGATCACTCTGTGTGCCACAGGAGGGGCTATTTTTGTGCCAAGGGGGGAGTTGTTATGCAAAGTAGACTATGCCAACTGGTATTCCAAGTATGTGTGCATGAAGGACAGGAAGGCTAAATATACATACTGTATTTCTGACCAATCTGGCCTCATCACAGGCTTTGGGTGAAGGTGTCTGGCTCACGTTCAGTTGGAGCTCGGGAGCAAAAAAAAAACAAATTCGGGGTAAGAGGTCAGAGCTGAGGATGAGCAAGCAGCAGCCATCATTAGAGTGACCAAGATGAGACAGTAAACTGAGGGTCTTGTCAGTCATGGAAACATTAAACCCCCTGTGTTTGGGAAAGTTTGAAAATGTCTGACTTTAGTGACTAGTGGTAATACATAAAAAACCCTGTCCACCACAGACAAATTTGATGTATGACCTGGTCAATTCTGACTATTTGGATATTTATACTTGTGAATTGAGTAAAACACAAAACTTCAACAGAGTTGGTTTCAGTAATTACTTTTGGTACCCACAATGTGAAGACACAGGGCTGGTCAAAATAAGAAGAAAAAAAAAAGAATATGAGAAGGCAATATGAGGTAAGTAAGAACATAAGATTTGTTATCAGCAAATACATTTACTAAGCTTTGAATATTCAGACAGCTGTCAGCAATGTCTGGGTCGCAGTTTTCCATGGCATTGTCACAACAGTTGAAAATAACTTAAACTTGTGTGAATTTTTAAAGATAGCAAGTATATGAAAATGTGGCGAGATTAGAACGTCACTGTTATTGATGGGCCATTTTAAAGCCTATAAATTTAGGGATGCAGAGGTTTATAAACACTGAGAAAAGAATAATGGAGATGCACAAGAGGAGAAGTGAAAACAAGAGGAGACTGGAGGAGGGAGGGTGGAGGGAACATAATGTATTCATAACAGAAGTGATAGTCTGCATCCTTTCCCATTGCTGACAACCAGACTCCATTTATAGTCACAAGCCAGCACGTTTGGCTTAACAGGGTGAAAGGAGAGTCATATGTGGAGAAATCTGCCAACCAGTGTGGGAGATGTTTTTGCCACAAACAAAATATTTTTTTTAAATATGTGGTAGTGTCAAGCGACATCACAGAAAGCCTCCACAACAAGAAATAGGGGTACAGGAGTATGTTTTTCATGAATGTAAGTGAATGTGTATAGTAGCAGGAAAAAAATTGTAAACCCTTTGGAATTACCTCTTTTTCTGCATTAACAGGTCATAAAATGTGATTTATCTTCATCTAAGTCACACAGTGTGCTTAATCTAACACCCAAACAATTACAATCTTGTCTTTATTTATCAACCATTAAACATTCACAGTGATGGTGGAAAAAGTAAGTGAACCTGTGGATTTAATAACTTGATGCAAATCAACAACTCTTGATCATAAATTTCTGAGATCTCATTTTTGCAAAAACTCCAAATGTTAAAGTATATTTTATAAGTCAAAGTGTCTCTAACCCACACCTCCAATCTTGTTTTATTGGTTGGACTCCAACATTACTAACTCCTGACTCCAATTAGCTTTTGTTGATGTCATTAGGTGAGGGGGTCACATACTTTTTCCAAACTTTACTATGAATGTTTGATTGATGTTTCATGGAAGAACAAAAACAATGAATTGTGTGTTATTAGTTAAGATAGATTGTATTTGTTCATTATTGTAACTTTGATTAAGATCTGATCATAATTTAGGACAAATTCATATAAATTTAATTGCAGGTATTTCCAAAGGGTTCACTTACTTCATGCCACTGCAGTGTTCCTTAATTTAAGGTACACATTTGTAGCAATTCAGCCAAAACTTAAGGTAGAGTAACTGAAGTCAGTGAAGTTGCATGCTGTTTTTGGGAGTCTAGATTGTGAAGGGTGACAAATCTCTTTGCCACCACTGCAAGACTGCAAGATTTGAACACAGTTAGCAGCTGGTGGGAAGCTGGTGAGGGATCATGTCACATCTGTCTCGCAATGTTAATGACTCCTTTAGATTAATTGGTCTGCCTGCACTGTTTCCTTCTGTCTACATCCTTTTAAGAAGGAGGCTTACAGCAACAAGGACTGGGAGAATTACCCATGGCACTGGATTATGTTGTTTTAGTCTTAAAACTGCTTATGGGCTGGTCTCTAACTCATGCAGGGTGCTAGATGCAGATAGGAGGGTGGAAATGCCTAAGGGATGTATCACTTCCTCCCACAAATCCTTTGGACAGGGCAGGGCTGTCCGTGTGTGTGATATCAGCACGGACAGGGTATGTAGAACAAAATGTATTTGATAAGTTTGTGAGGAGTGGACCCAGATGGAAGCTGTGCTTATTCCTACATGTTGTTTCAGGGTATGCCAGCTACCCTTGTTTGTAGTGCAGATACTTCAAGATGTGGTAGAACTGAAATGTGCATTGTTAAAATGATGAGGAATTTAGAGTAAAGCCCAAAAAATGAGAGACGATGAGCAGTGTGTCTGGGAGCTTTTGGAATTTTTGTTTATTTCCCAAGTTGATATGAACAGATGGCATCACTCCATAAAAATCTTACATGTTCGTGTGTGTGTGTGTGTTGCCTGGATACACTTTGGTATTCTGACCTTTCAAACAAAGCAGAGGAGCCAGGAGGGCCCCACTCAACATCTCTGTCTGCAGCTTAATCCAATTTGCTTCCACTTTGCCTAAGGTATTAAGCAGTGTTGTTATTGTGGGCATCAGAATTAGGACATTTACTATTGATTAATTAGTTTGTTGCAGTTTTGTACATTGACTGTTTATGCTCAGTTTGGAAAAGTTTTGTTGTTGTCTTTCTGTAGTTTGTTTTCAAGCCCTTTATTTTGACTCATCCTTATTATGATAGGACCATCATTAATTAGTCCAAGGTTCAGCCTAAGCATAAATCTTTAATGGTAGTGTTGGGGCAGTATGATGATATACAGTAGATCAGTGGTTCTCAAACTTTATCACATCAAGGACCCCTAAACTGACACAAATTACCACAGACCCCCATCTGATTTTGAGATGTTTGCTTTTAGATGTTTTATTACAGAAAGTGTTTGAAAACCATGACTAAAATAGTCATACATTCTGTCATTGTATTACTTATAGATGGAATTATAGTGAAAATAAATTATTCCCCTTTTTGCTGGATTAACGTCTTAAAAACTTATAGTTTGAGAATTAATTCAGGCTGGTCAGATAGATACTGGATCAATCGGCCAACTTTAAGCAGTGTTTACATGATAGCATAACTTCCGTTCTCTCAAAATCCCAAACCTTGTCAACATCTATAAAAACTAGGTGTTGTAAATATAAACTAATGTACAATTCAGCAGTTGCATGTCACATTTCTCACCATAGATTTATCCAGTTTGAAGATTAATCTAGGAAAAAAGTGACTCCTAGTATGTGTCCAGATCATTTGCCATGATTTTCTGTTTGAAAATCCGGACCAAAAACCAATCATTAATACTCAGTCAGTGTTGTGTACATCATGTGTATAAATGGCTTCTCTTGTGAGGTGAAAGACAGAGAACATCATTATGTGTTTTGAAGACCAAATGTGATAGCGAGCAGAAAATGAGGATATAGATAAATACCTTTTCATGAGGCATTCCGGCAGGTTTTTGGGTGTGACCACATCTGTGGTCTGGGGTTCTGCTGTGTTGATCAATTAGTCATGTTATATGATAATGCCCCATATCTGTGCGTGTACTCACATCACTTACAGCAACTGCTGTTACAGATCCAATGCCGATGAACATTAACTTCAGCTTGTCTTTCAAAAGACAACATTAAGGTTTCCCACCTCACTGATCCCCACACCCTCATCGGTAGAGCCAAAATAAACCTGGAACTAAGATATTCTGTGTGTGTGTGTGTGCGTGTGTGTGTGTGTGTGTGTGTGTGTGTGTGTGTGTGTGTGTGTGTGTGTGTGTGTGTGTGTGTGTGTGTGTGTGTTTAAGAAGAGACAGAGACAAATAAACCTAAACATGTACATGACTTAACATGTAGAACTGATGCATGGAAAAATCAGATACATTATTTTTTATTAATCTGAAGAGATATAGTAAAATTTGTTTTATATCCATTTTGATTATGTAACTACACTTTGATCCTAATTATGATGCTTTTTTTTTTCTTTTCAGCAACATGGCCAATGCTCTGGCCAATGCCATGTGTGAGCGCTGCAAGAGTGGCTTTGCCCCGGCAGAGAAGATAGTGAACAGTAATGGGGAACTTTACCACGAGCAGTGCTTTGTGTGCGCCCAGTGTTTCCAACAGTTCCCAGAGGGACTCTTCTATGAGGTAACACTTTATCTGCTGATTTTCAACTTTCATAATCCAATGAAAATGTGTGATGCAGCTATTGACAGGTTGAAGCACATCCAGAGGGTAAGGGGTTACAATAAACATGGGATTGCCTTGATCAGTCTTGACATGCCTGGGTAACGGTGCAAGATGCAAATTAAAGTGTGTGTGAACAGATAAATACTTTCAGAGATATGAATACTGCCTCTGAACACAGAAGTTCGTCTAAAAAGATAAATGTAACCATGGTTTCACTTCTTTTTTCATCTTGAAATACATATAGAGTGATTATGAAGGGTTAACAAACTGATGAACTGATGTTACTGGCAATATGATCACTGTTTAGTGCAAGGCTGTTGTTAGTGCACATCTCTTAGACAAAGAATGTAAACACAGTTCTGGGTGAGGTAAATAAAGACGGGTGAGCACAACTTTAAAGCATTATTGAATTATTTGAAGCCCCTTTCCAGTAAGCTGTTTGCTCACAGCCTTGACACAAGGCCCATTGTTTCTGCACCAGGCTCCAGAAGACCTGATGCTATTTATGTAAGTCAGTTTATCAAAAGAAAGTGTCTCTACTGCTCCGATCAATATAAACATCAAAGCAAGGGGTGTGACATTAATTTCTCATTCCCTATTCTACTGCCATAAATAAACAACAGTCAATTGAATAGATTGACGTAGGATCATACTGTTGCTGAGTATGTAGATTTAAAGTAGACAGAAAACCTTTGCTTATCAGAGGTATGCAGAAACCTCCATAGCTGCATTTGCTTTAATGACCATTAGATGATAGCTCTAAAATCTGTATCAAAGGGAAGCGAGAAATCCTTTTCTTTTAGAGTACAAAGTCTGTTTTTTACAACAGGATACAGTCTCAAAGTAAATTTACTTCTTGCCATCTTGTCTGTTTTTGAGCATCACTGGTTTATTAGTTGTTAGATTGTAAGACTTTAAATAGCACTATACAGTGAAATCACCTACATTAGAATGATAATAAAGTCATTTCAGAAACATCTTGTAACAATCTAAAGAGAAGAATCCTAAAATTAAAATGCAGACCAAGGACTATTTACCATGACTTATGGTGAAGTAGAAATTAGAAATTCTACAAAGCAGTTTTCGATGTCCTCAAACATCCATTCTGTTAAGTAATGCTCTTGTGCAACAACTGTGAAGCCATGTTGCACTGATGGCTGTTTGGAATACCAGAGTGTTTATACAGTACAACATACAGCCATGTTTGCACTGACCAGTATCACACGGGGACTTGTGACTTTAAGCAAATGATTTGAATACTGAAACCCACATCTGCATTTTGTGCTGCTCATACGGAAAGAAAGATCAAGTAAAGATCAACCATTCCAATGTAGTCATCCATCTTTCAGATTTTTATTCTTTTTTCACCATGTGCCAGGTGACAGTTCTGTTTTGAGATATACCTTTTCATTTTTATCTGGGTTTTTTTTTTTTTTTTTTTGCCATTCTTTTATCAACACAATTCAGTCTTCTTGAGTAATAATATTAGAAATAGTTTGCATATATAGATTTTTAGGAATACACTGTTTATTAATATGATTTCCTTTTTAATGTGTTAATGTACATTTGTGCAATTTAATTAACTGCTTACAATTTGATTGAATTCTGCTGACAGTTTGAAGGCAGGAAATACTGTGAACATGACTTCCAGATGCTGTTTGCTCCCTGCTGCCACCAGTGTGGTAAGTATTAGAACCGCAGTAAAAGTGAATGAATACCATCTTTACATTTTCTTTACCTGCTCTTACCTATTGTGGATGTAGGCTTGAGTATATGCCCTTTAAATAAATATCTAAGTAGCTGTTCTGTCACTATCAGGTTCTCCATACTCTGTTGTTCTTCTTTCAGGTGAGTTCATCATCGGCCGTGTGATCAAGGCCATGAACAACAGCTGGCATCCGGACTGTTTCTGCTGTGATATCTGCCAGGCCGTGTTAGCCGATGTTGGTTTTGTGAAGAATGCTGGAAGGTCAGTCCCTTTACAACCAGCCACTATAATTTCACTGGTTATATTTGTGCAATCATATCAGTTATTATTGTCTACAAGGTTATTTTGTCTGGTACTTATGTTTCTATGACTACTATGCAATTATACCAAGCTGACTCAAGACTCATCTCTTCTCTTCTTTTTGAACTCGCTCAGTTGTGTTGCTTCAAAAACTATGATGAAGTGTCAGCTGAGGTGAAGGCCAGTATTATGAGAGAAGGAAACTGCAGCTCGCTGTTGTGTACTGTAAACGATGTCAGGGTGACACTCTGAACAAACTGGTCAAGTGTTCTGTGTCAAGAAAAACTCACTGTAGTTTCAGTTAAGTTTCTAATCTTGGTTCTGGTTATATAGGCTGCTGAACCCAAGGTTTTGAAGGATGGATTATATTTAGTGCTGCTGCTGAGTGTGCCGATCTCTGCATCAGTTGTATCACATTGATATATTAGTTGGAATCAGTCCTTAATTGATTCAATTTAGGGAATTGCTAAAGTATCTAATCCGGTATCTCTCTGCTTTTCTGTATTTTTCTCTCTCTCTTTCATCAGGCATCTGTGTCGTCCATGCCACAACAGAGAGAAAGCTCGGGGCCTTGGCAAGTACATCTGCCAGAAGTGTCACGCTATCATTGACGAGCAGCCTCTGCTGTTCAAGAATGACCCCTACCACCCTGATCACTTCAACTGCAACAACTGCGGGTAAACAAACTTGGCCCGCTGTATCAGTCTCACAAATCATTCACAGCAGCAAAACAGTGAGAGTAGAAAGTCCTGAAAGCACTACTTGTTCACATCTGCAGACAGAGAGGTCTTTTAATTCCATGCCAGACTTACACTTAGTTTGTTATGCAGTCACGATTCTGCACTTCTGATGTTTTTGACATTTTGATTCTAGGATCCAGTGGGCTGAATATATTGAGATGAGAGTTCACCTGTGATTATCAAATTTATTATTACAATGTAAATATTTGTTGCAACTCTAATTCCCTGATGAAATAATGTTATCATAAAAACGTAGCAGATGAGATCCAACAAAAATAGGTTGCAAGTGCATAGTCTATACAGACCTACAGACTAATAAATTAGACTTGGGCCGATATTCAATAATATCAAATATTGTGATATTTCCTGCCATGTGCAATTTTGATAATATCGGGAAAAAAAATTGATTTAATTTTTGCAGTTTTGCACAGGCTGATGAGTCCAACCCTCATTTCACTACTTTGTTTACTGTACATTATACCTTGGCATTTGACAAATAAAAGTTTGCACTGCTCTTTATTGACAGCATCATTTATACCTGAAACATAAAATACAATAATATATTTATGGACTATTAAAAAAACAACAATTCCAATATAAAATACAACAATATAATAATATTATAAACCTCCCCCTCATGATATATGATATAATAAAAACTCACCACATGAAGCACTTTCAGTCAGACTCAAAATGATAGGCTTGATAGTGCTCTCTGCTGGACACATGATGTAACTGTTAAAGTTGCTTGTCATGTCCCCATGAAGTGATCTGAATGAGTGTCTCATGTTATCTTATATGAAAAGGGTGTTGTCTTTAATTGCATTACGATTATGACACAACTCCCCACAGAATGATGCGTAACACAGTGTCGGTGTAATTTACTGTATCAGATATATAATTATCTTGTAAGAGCCAGATTTGTTTTTGGTTTATTTCATGTTTTCTTCTTTTTACGTAAATGTAAATTCATCATTAAAATCACCATTGTTTTGAGTTCTTTCAAATGCATAAACAAATGTTTCTTTGTAGTTTTAATCAGTAACTATGAAATGTGTTTTCATGTCCTGCATTTGTATTATTTTGTGTTACCAGAGGCAAAAAACTGATCTAGTTGTATTTCTGTCTGTCTCTGCAGTAAGGAGCTAACTGCTGATGCCAGGGAGCTGAAGGGGGAGCTCTACTGTCTGCCCTGCCATGACAAGATGGGTGTCCCGATCTGCGGGGCCTGTAGGAGACCCATCGAGGGCCGTGTGGTCAATGCCATGGGCAAGCAGTGGCATGTGGAGGTGCGATGTTAAACTATAAACCTTTTGGATATGACTTCAGTTATTTTGAGCATAGTAAACTTTACTTAAATGCATACGTTGGTTTCACACTCACATCCAGGAAAGTGCATTTAGAGACATTTACTTAGTATTTATTGTCAGATTGCTTTCAGATGTAATTACATTTTAAATGATATATTGCCTATATTCTTTTGAAGTAGTTTTTACTGCCTGTTTTCTGTATATATGAACAGTAGAGGTCTAATATAAGCACATTATCTCTGAGGTTCCCAATATTTCCAATAATTCTGAAATGCAATTTGTGTATCTGAAATAGCTATTCATTCTGTATGTCTATGACCAGAGTTTTTTTTCTATCCATTTGTATTTCTATTCATTTCATTCTACTGAGTGCTCTTTAAAATGTGACTCATACCTTTGCCAGCTTTATCTCCACAATTAGGTCCAGTGCTTTAAACTCAAAGCTGTGTGCATCATTCCTCTATTATCTGCAGTCTGTCTCTATATTTATTTTTCTCTCTGGCATCATTCAACCACCTTCTTTATCTTTATCTCATCTTCTCTCACAATTTATGGCCATTTTCCTGTCTTCCCTCATCCACATGTAGCATCATGTGTGCACTGTGTGTGAGCGCCCATTTCAGGGCCACCCGTTTTATGAGCGAGGTGGTCATGCCTATTGTGAGAGACACTTTGACATGGTGAGGGGATTAAGGATTGGCCTGTTGCTGACTGCTGCCGTGTGTCTCATTTCTCCCTGCCTGGCTAGAATCATCTTCATATAAGGGTTACACTAATATATAACTTTTATCAAACAGCTCACTATCTGTCTGTCCATCACAGCATAATGTCTTGACAGCTACGGGCCAGACTGCCTTTTGTCTTGCTAGATCATATATTCAACCCAGTTTCCTCTAATTAGTTACTTTTCAGAATTCTATCTTATCCATATTAATCTGTTTTAAATGTAAATATTAATACGTTGAATATCACAAAAAAAAAACCAGCTGAAATGAGAATAAATAATCATTTTCTTATTTACTGTTCCTTATAAACTTATTTTGTCTGGAATTACAATAGGGGTAAAAGGGTTTAATTAATGAAGTTTTACAAATTCCAGCTTTTCACCATGAAGTTTGAGATGTGTTGATCCTGAAGGTAAAAGTCATGTACTGGTGTAGCAGGGCATAATTTGGGTTTAAATGGGTTGATTAGGGTCTCTGAAGAGTTTTATTGTCCAATTATATCCAGTGATCTGTCAGAGGCTTTTTATACTCTACAAGAATAAGATTCAGTTCAGTTCTTCATTTTGAAAATTTAAAAATGTTGAATATTGCCAAAAAAACTGGCTAGCAACACCCTCCATCACAAATATCACCTTTGATTTGGCTTCAAAAATTGATATTGGTGTAACTCTGCTCTCTGGTCCATGGTGTTCTTTGACACAAATACGTACGGGGTCCTCACTGAGTTAACTGTGGGGACTAAATTGCTCATTATCAAAAAACTGTGTCATACCCTACAATTAAATCCCCCTGTCTGTGTTGAGGACTATTGCACCCTCTAGAGGTTGTTATTCTGTCCAGCTTCTCTACTCTCTATATTCAGTTTGCGAGCAATAACAGGACATCTGGGCTGAACTGATCTGGTTGTGGTCTGACCTGATAATGTCAAAGCCAGACTGTGCTGCTGCCTGTGACATGGTCTGAATGGGATAATGTACTGACAGATGGCTGTGCTAACCATGTGTGCTTGGCCATTGGTTTGTTTGCAGCATTTTGTGTGTGCTAAGTGTGAGAAACCCTTCCTGGGACACCGTCACTACGAGCGCAAGGGCCTGGCCTACTGTGAAACGCACTACAACCAGGTAACACTCAACCGTATTGGGAATATTTATGTTGAATACTCAAAAAGAAGCTGAAACATGTTGCTGTGTTTTGCCTGTCATGAAATCTCTCTCTCTTGGCTCCATTTATAGTATGTCAAGATTAGTAACTGTGCCTTTGACCCAGGCTGCTCAAATATGAAGTGATGATGGAAAGATTGATTATGGAGGGTAGTTATGTGGGAAAGTCTGACCTATCTGAAATTTTTAAGTTGGCTGCAAACAGTTATACATTTGTAGTCTACCTTCCAATCAGAGAAGTCATTTTTAGTCTGTAATATTTCAGTTGAATGCTCTATTTTGGCCAACTTTTCTATTAATCCTCACTTTTACTTGAAACACCAGGTAGATATTTGAATAAAGAATACAAACAATATTTTTGGGTGAGCCACAGATTTTACTTGTGTACATGAGGGACTCTAGGTGAGATATTCAACATGTTGCCAGATGCCAAAAATTTTGAACTAGTCACAGTTGGCACTATTTTTTTCTTTTTTAATAAGTTTTAATAACAATAATAGAAAAAAGATGAAGTTTGGCAGTAAAATGTTTTATATCTGTGAGAGAAATATGAACTGTGCTGGAGCAGAAAGAAAACGACTTCATCATTGTAATGACTCCACCTAGTGTTAGAAAGTTTTATGGGATCAGGTGTTCAACTCATGTACTCATGAAGTTTTAAAATGCTTCTGTAGCCTGTGTTTGTTTGCATGGCATCTGAAAGTGTTATCTTACCCATGATGAGGACTACCACTGCTGCATTGTGTTGCATATTTTCATAACTCATGAGATGTGTCACTGCTCACTCTCTGTGTTTCTCTCCCCTTGCCACGCTCAGCTGTTTGGAGATGTTTGCTACCACTGCAACCGTGTTATTGAAGGAGATGGTGAGGAAACTTGTTTAGATTGAAAATATATGTGAATGTCGCTCATTGCGCAGCCCTGTTGATATTAGTGCTCATTAGAGCACTGTTTACCATGTGCTTCTCTTTCACATGATCATGACTGTAGTTGGATTCATACACTTACATTTATTTGATTTATACATGTTGACAAGGTTCTTTCTTGAAAATTGGATTCAGAACTAGTCATATGATAATAATCTGGGTCAGTGTCTCATGTGACTGTGACTGTATTTTTTTTCAGTGGTGTCTGCTCTTAACAAGGCTTGGTGTGTCAACTGTTTTGCCTGCTCTACCTGCAACACCAAGCTCACCCTCAAGTAAGTAATGCAGAGAGTCTAAGAGACGCACTATAACGTTTATATGTGTGGGATCAATACACACATTTTAGCCTGGATTTTTTTTTAATACTTATTAGGTATTAATTATATTCTCTGAAGACTGTCAGGAATTCTCATGTGAATTGGCCGAGCTTTCTCTGCTGCTTCTAATTTTTGTCATTCACAACTTCTCTGCATTTAAGACTATCTGCTGCTGTTAACTGTCTGTTATTCAAACATGTCCATTCCTGATTTTCTCACCTTTCTCTTTTAACTTTGTGTTTCTGTGGGCTTGTCTCTCCATCTTTCCTCCCTTTTATAATCCCACTTCTTTGTTCCCTTGTATGCTTCTCTTGCACCACTTTTCCTTCCCTTGCCCTCTCTTCAACTTTAATCTCTCTTTTATCTTTTATCTTTCACTTCTCCTCCTTCTATTTCTTACCTTTATTCCTGCCGTCTTGTTGTCTCTCTCCTTCTCCTCTCCAACTGCCCTTCCTCTTCTCTTCCCCTTTCTTTCAAACCTCTCGCCATCTCTTTTTCCTCCCTGCTCTGTCAGGGATAAGTTTGTGGAGGTGGATCTGAAGCCAGTGTGTAAACACTGTTATGAACGCCTGCCAGACGACATGAAACGCCGGCTGGCCAAGCGTGAGCGTGACTCAAAAGAGAAGAAGAAGAAATTGATACCCATGTGTCTGTGATCCTCTCTTTCTCCTTTCTCTTCATTTCCATTGTTCTTCCTTTGGTCAGTTTCCATCTTTCTTCCTTTATGTTTTTATTCTTCTTCTATTTCATGTCATCATATTTCAAACATGCTCCATGCCACTTTCATTCCTCATATCACAGTCAGAATTAATGCCTTTGGCTTTTTAAAGCAGAGATTAAGCAGGTGAATATACACTGACTGGACAGATTTGAGTGAGCTACCACTGAAAATATTTCAGTACATAACCACTTCTCATTCTGAAACACTAGTCAGGATTAAGGCTGGTACTGCTAACCTGTGCTATGCAAACAGGAAAATCAGATCAGTCACATGGTAAAGGGAAGGAAGGCTTTGTTTCTCGGGTCTCCCGGTCTGTCTGGGCATAAAGGGTAAAACCTTAATCACTTCCGGCAGCTTTCTGGCCGCAGCTGTGTAAGTGCCAAGGTCCCACTGGATTTGACACGTGCCCCGGTCCTGCCAGCGATTATCTGCTTTGGGAGGGAATGTCGTCCAGGGGAAGCTTTGGGGAAAGGTTTAGAGAGCTGGCCAGTGTTAGTGGAATTAATAGCATTTAGTACAGAAAACAACCAGAAGGCACTCAGATCTCTAAATGTGTTATTTTAATCACTGAAAATGTTTAGAAAATTTTAATCTGTATGTAGATCTAAAGAATATCAGTACACATAGCAATGTTTGTCTCAGGGAACATGGGCCTGATTGTTTTCATTCAAGAAAGTGCAGGAGTTGTAGTGTAGTTCATCAAAACATATCAAGAATGTTCAAGAATCACTCTGCCACTGTGGTCAGGGATCCTCTGGAATATTGCTAGATGTGCAACTGCATCCAGTTGGCTGAAATCTGTGAGCAGGTTTCAGGTTGGGTGTCTTGGATAAAAAGGTCAATAAAATGTTGGGTTTATTCAGCTAACTTATGAACATACAAAATAGGACCAAAGACATAACCTCCTTGGCCGACGTAAAAACCAAGGTATGGAGCAGGGGCAGTGGTACTTAATTATGGAATGAAAGATGATATTAGTAAAATTTGACCATAAAAGTAATTTAGAAGTAATCTGAAAAAGGAAAATTCTCTGTAACTATAAAACAAACAAAACTAAATGCTTTTCAGTATGATTTTTCAACAAGAAGAAATGCCATTCACAATATTTACTTTAGTACTCAATGACCACAATCTTCTGTTTTTTTGTTTGTTTTCCATGTCAACATTTCAATGTATATGCTGTTGCACGGGTGATTTGTAAGGCTATGAAATATTTGATTGGCAGTGTTCTAGGGTGCAGCTTCAAACCAGCAAGTTTGCCAAACCATTTTTCATGCCATTAGACATAGCATTGACACATACAGTATATATTCGTACTAGGAGTGACAACATCTAATGTCTAAGCTAATGTTTGTCTTTCTTCCACAGGAACAAGTTTGTGGAGTTTGACATGAAGCCAGTATGCAAGAAGTGCTATGAGAAATTCCCTCTGGAGCTGAAGAAGAGACTGAAGAAGCTCTCTGAAACTGTTGCACGGAAGTAAACATACATTCGAGCCGCAGTAGGGAGGGAAAGATGAGACTGTGAGGTGGTCACATTTCCAGAATTGACAATCATATTAGATATAATTAATCTGTTTTATATTGTTGTTATTTTAAATTTAGGTTTGTTATTTCAGTGGAACACTCCACTATTTGTCCTTTCAGTTGCAGCTGCTAAGCACTGAGGATCATTTCAAGAGCCTGAAACTGACTGATTGTTGGTCATTCAATTGGTGGGTTCAACTTTAACCTGTTTTGATCCTTTTGGCTCAAATACTGCACTGTACATTTTTCATATGCTTGCCTTATTTCACTGCGATGGCCTTCATTAATAAAATTAAAAAAAAATATATATATATATATATACAGTATAAACAGAAACATACACAATGATGGTCCTGTATTTAATAATAACATGAGCTTTAAGAGAACATTGAAACATGGGGATAATATAATTACTTACAAGCTGTGTTGACAGTTTGATTAACTGTTTGCCAACTTGTGTCTTGATGCCAAAAAACTGTTTCCTGTTTGACTTATGTTACTGATACTCTTTTATAATAGAGTAAACCCAGACAAAGCGATAAAAAATGCAGGTGTACTGAATGTGTATATAATATCTCTTCCACCAACATGTATTATTTTATGTATTACTAATGTATTTTCTGTAATGTTATGCAAATCAAGTTTGTGTTTTATAAAATTAGATTTTTTTTTCCCCATAAACTGTTGACGTCATACTGTAGCCTCCTTAATACTACAGTGATGGACTCAGCCATCACCTGCAGTATGTTGGGTTGCCTTGCTACATACTATGCATTTTATGTGTGAAACAATCTCTAAAATTGGTATTTACACTGAGTTACCAGTTCATTAGCTTCACTTGTACATTCTAAAATAATCCAGTATAACCTCCCGGGAATAAATCACAAGTTAATAATGATCAGTTTTTGTCTACCCCCATTTACAGTAAATACACAAGGGTGACAGAATAGCTGAAACACCTTTAAAAGTAATGCAGAGTCAACACCTCTGACATGCTGCCAGCAAATACTGAACGCCCTAACGTCACAGTGACAGCTTTTACTGCATGACAAGTGGTTACTGTGTGTGTGTTAAAACATGATGGCTTGTGGCATGTGCAGAGACCGGATGTTGGAGTAATGTTAGATGTTATAACGTGTCTCTGTTTGCTTGTAATCCAGAGAAAGTGATCCTCTTAGGGAGGTGTACTGACTTCCTCAGGGCTCAGACCCTCTTAGGGAAAAAAAAGCAAGTGTTGTGAATGGGAAAGAATAATTTCTGTTTTCACAAAGTTTCACTCGAGTAATATTTTATCACAGAAACCTCATCTAATGCATAGCAGTTTGATAGAAAGACACATTCCACTATTTTATGGAAATACAAAGCCTATGTTACTGTTGTGAATTTCACTGCCTAAGCCACAACATTTCTCATATGTCATGTAGAAGTAAAACTATCCATTGGACTTTGTTGTGAAGCAGAATTTCAGCTCCACTAAAAATAGTCCAGCAGATAGTTGCATTTGATATCTTACTACCTGGATGAATGAGATGACTCTACTGCTCTTATATTGTATTTTATCTTCACAATGCTTGTCAAGAGACAATATTTCTCCATGTAACCACACCAAAGTGCATGCTCTATACTTGAATGGAAAGTTATTTTTCAGTATATCTAAGATAATTCTGTCAATTCATCAGAATAAACTTGTACATCAATGCTACCAGTGTGCAGGTAGTCTTGTTTTTGATTTCCAATTTCTGACATCTTTTAGAGTGTAACATGACATCCCAAGCAGGTGTGGGAGTCACAGGTCGATTGAATAGCTGTTGTGGTAAAACTTTACCCCTAGTTAAGATGCATAGAGCACTGACAACACTGATACAGAGAAAATTATTCCTGTGTAAAACTTCATACATGCTTGTCGTCCTTGTCCTTACAGGGCTAGTATGTTTACACATACTTGGCCAATATGTTGCTAGTGGACTTTCTAGGCACTTTAGATGTTTAGATTCTTATCTATCATGCAGATCACATCTGATTGGTACCAAATTCATTATGCAGCATGACAATGTGCTGAAAAATCAGCCACATTCTGTAGCATCACAATGAGCCCTAAAACACAGCCACAATCATTAAGAACTGTCTTCAGTGAAAGAAAGAAAAATGAGGAGTCTGCAACAGATGGTGTGTCCTCCACAGAGACCTGATCTCAAACATCATGGAGTCAGTTTTGAATCGCACAAAGAGACAGAAGACAGTGAGACAGACTGAATCCACAGAAGAACTGGTATGTTCTCCACTCACAACAACCTACCTGCCAACCATGAAAAACTATTTGCTAGTGTACCGAGGAAAATTGGTGCTGTTTTAAAGGCTAAGGGTACTCACACAAAATAGTGAGTTAATGTTTTTCTTCCTCTTTACTGCACTTTGTGAACTTAACATTATTTTTGAAAGTATCCTCACTCATCCTCAAGTGCATATTTGTTGCATATTTTATTATATTATTTGCATGGACATACAGATCAAACTAAAATTTAAATGTAAACTGGACACCAACCGTGGTTTCATTGATCTTCGATTGGTGGTATAAAGAATAGGTATAGTAGTAGCAATAACCATTTCACCTAATGCAAAGAGGGCTCACCCAGCCTGACCACCCCTCCTTCAAAATAAAGTGCGTCAGTGTGCGTCATACTGAATACACGGTTCTCATTGGTTAAGGAGCCTGATTCAAGAAAGCGCACGACCCACGTGACCCTCTGCCATTTGATGGTAATGAGACTGCGCAATATCATCATGGGCAGTTAACGTTAAGGAGTGACAGTCGAGCCGATATTAATGTCAGTTTTTTTAATATATATTTTGTGAATTCCTGGTATTCTATGCACCTTAGTCCGCCGTTTTAGAGGTAGTTGTTTTTGGAAGCCATGCGGCGAAGTAAGGCTGAAGTGGACCGTTACGTTTCCTCAGTACAGAGTTCCTCTCCCTCACTCAAAGAGGTAAGTTGAACCGGCGGCTAACGTTAGCGTGCTGCTGCCATCATGTCAGCCAGCATGTGTCAGCCTCAACAACCGGTTAAATGAACACTAGCTAACGTTTGAATTGACGGGACGTTAAATAGTTTCGCTTTAATCTCGTGTTCTGTGTAAACTCTGATAACCGTAACCGGTTAGCAGCGCAGACATTAGCAAACCGGCATGGTAACGCCTCGTCTTGTCCTCCCCTTTATGCCCGGAAAATGCGCGGCAGGGTTGTTACAGCAGCGCTAGCTGATTAGCCCTGCTAGTTAGCAATGACACAGTCAGCTAGTTAGACCACTTGTGTAGTTGATACTAGTTTTATACACTTGGAAAAACATGGCCTTAATGCCGATTTTAACCGGAATACGCGCCATTAATTGATTTATACTAGCAGCACGAAACTAACTTTATCAGAAATTTGCTGTTATTTAGCGAACTGCTGACTAGACTATCTTTAAACAGAAGTTACTGGACTGGTACATAGCTAGCCTAACTTTAATGTTGCACTAAGCAGTGTCTGAATCATTAGATTGTATAGTATTAGTAAGAAGAGTGAAAATGGCTGTGTAGTTTAGTTTGATTGATATCATTATGAAGTAATAATTAGAAGAAACAACTTTATATATACAGCAATTTTCTTAACAAAGTTGCTAAGTGCTTTACTTAAAAAGAAAAACAATGAAATATACAGCTGAAGCATGTAAATAAAAACGAACACAGGCATCATAAAATAGCAAAGGTGGCGTGATCAAGATATGAAATAATCATAATGTTTTATGCAAGGATTTAAAAGATGCTAAAGATATAGTGTGCCTGATCTCAATAGTTTGATCCACAGACTGGGGGTCACCTTTAATTACTAGCTGAGATCTACGAATAACAAGGAGAGAATGATGGCATAAATAAACTTCAATATAAAGTCCAAAAATCACAGTGATTTCATTGTCGGTCTTGATGTAGAGATGGCAAAGTCCAGGCGACTGGGTGACATACTATCAACAACCCAACACAACAAATACTTCTTTTGTCATCAACGAAATCGTTTCAAATCAAACATCAAAATAAATAAATGATACAAAAATGAGTCAAGTCGCTCATAAGAAATGATTAAACCGTTTTCAAAACTAGGGTGCTTACTATATTATCTTAATGTGCAAAGTTAAATTATCCCATATCCTGGCAACACAGAATCTAAAGAAATATCTGGCACCAAAAGCAAGTAAAGTCGAGTTGACTCTGTACCATATTGAAAAAAAACACTATAATGGAACAAGTATCCATGTAGGTATTAAACCTCAGCAAGTACAAGTTGACAGGCACCACTAGCTCAAATCTGGTGGACAAGGAAGGCGAGAAGTAAATCATAAATGGATTTAATTCCATAGCCATGTTGGCTGAGAAGTTGTTTGTTTTTACTATGTCAGGACAGGGGGTCATTTGTATCTAGGATAAAACCATCCAAAAAGACATCTTGTAAATTGAATTTTAAGCCATAATGACATTTATTATTATGGCCTCTAACCAGCAAAAGTGAGAGAATTTTTTTTATTTTTTAAATGACTCCAAATATTGTCCTTTTACTGATATTCATCTTCAATGTTTTCTTTCCACAGAAGCCAGTCAAAGGATTTTTATTTGCTAAATTGTACTTTGAGGCAAAGGAATATGAACTTGCGAAAAGGTAAGCACACAAGCTTCCCTGTTATTGAGTGAATGTGTTATTGCTTCAAAGAGATGTCTCTGTTATATTGACAGTAATTTTGCATGTTTCATGCTCTTCCTAGACATGTATCAGAGTATCTCAAGGTCCAGCAGAGGGATCCGAAAGCACACAAATTCCTTGGACAGCTCTACGAGAAAGAGGGAGACATTGACAAGGCAATAGGATGTTACAAGGTAGGAAAAACATGTCATTGGTTAAAAAAAAAAAAGTGCAAAACAAAGCCTTTCTTTGTGAAAGAATGCATTACAAGATGTGCTTGTGGATGTGTCATCCTAGTGTTTTAAAATTAGGATGATCAAAGTCTGCTACACACCCTGCTTTTAATGTAATGAATTCCAGGATTTGTTGTTTAAAGTCCGGTTCTTCCTTCCTGTTCACATGTGAAAGTAAAAGGGCATTGAGCAAAATACCAAACTTAAAACTGCTACCGATGGCCAGGCCAGTCTGTGGTTGTGTGCATGTGGGTGAGTCAGAGTCATTCAGGTTAAAAAATGTTATGCGAGTGCAGTCCATGTACAAGTTGATTCATAAAGTTACAACAGTTCAAATTGAAAATGTGGAATAATATGAAGGAGTACATGGATAACAATGCTCCTTGTTAACTACCCTCATTTTGGTTGGGATTTTATCCAATGCCAATTTACAGCAGGTGGTTTGTAATGGAGGACTCATTCCACAGCCCAATAACCATACATTAAATGGCTTGTGTCAAGGCAGCCAACCCTACAGCATGGATAAAGTCTTAACTCAAGCTTGCATTGCAGCTTATCTGGCTGCCAGCGTCTGATTCTCTAAACATCTTAACTCCTTCAGCTTTCAGTGTCTTTTTTGTTTGAATTTACAGACTGTTAATTAGGACTTGGTGTTGGTGTAAATGGGTTCCTGTCTATCAGGTTACCCAAAACTCTTTTAGTTCTGCCATTACACCTCATAGAAGGTTTGCAGAGCTGAAGAAATTCAATGACAGAGCTGTGAAGAGATCTATTTTAGAATACAAGGTTAACCTTAATTATTGGCGTACCAACCAAACAGGTATTTGGGGTTTATATTAACACCTGCATAGGGAGGGGAAGTTACGCAGCTCTGAATGTACTTTCATTTACTTTCCTGTCAACCTCTTCCATCACATACCATACAGTTTTAGATATGTTTCCTACCTTCTTTAGCATCAGCTATGTGAAATTTTAAAGTTGCAAACACTAGGATTGTGTAGGTCATTTATCAAAGTGACCATTTAATGCCCTTTATTTGTTATGTTTTCCGAAATGGTTGTGCATTCATCTCACTCGGACAGACAAATAATAATGGACATGAACATTTTCAGGGTTTTCATTGGCTTCTGGAGGGCTGTGGTGTGATGAGAATCAAGTGACATTAGTTGTTTCTTGCATGTAGAGGCAGTCAATGCTTAAATCACAGATTCTCAGCAAAATTGAATGCACCAGTAGTAACAGTTTTCAACAAAGACCCATTCACAGCTGTATTACCATGTTACAAAAATATGACTGACTTTGTAAAGGCTACTGTATGCTCACTGTGATGCATCACTTCCAGAGGGTCTAAGTTGATTTTTATACTGTACAGAACAGAAATCGGTCTGGAAATGTAGCACATGCTCTTCAGAAATTTTCAGAAGTAATACTTAAAACAGTGTAGTTCGATTCTAACTGATGGGATAAAATATACAAAACTATAGGTATGTTTGTTAACTCATGTTAAGTCGCTTTTTCCCCCATACACCTTTATTCAGATGGGACACCCAGCTGGAACCCCACTGTAATCATGAACATCCTGAGCCCATGTGCAAAGTCAGTATTGGGGTTGATTTTAGGTATTGTTGAGTACTATTGGCTATAAACCCTATTCATTTCCAATTTTTTTTTATTGCAAGTCATCGTACTCCAGCTGGGTATACCAGATCGGAAAAATGCCCAGCTGAGCTGTTAAAACACAGGGTGAACCATAAAGCAGCATGACCAGGACTGACTATAGTGCAACCTGCTGCTGACAGTTTGCAGCTTAAATAAAACCACCTCCAGACTGTATTAAATTTAAAAAGAAAATGAGACATTTCATTATCATAGTGTGAGAAGGAGGAGGTGTCAAGTTTTTATTGTTATCACAAAGTTAAGAGCCAAAAGAAAAGCAGAGCATATGGTGCAGATGGTAGGACTTCTTAAGTAAATAAAATCAAGAAGTAAAATGGCATTGAAGTTTACAGCTTTACAGGTTTACAGTGTATGAAACTATCTTCCTTTGACTTGATTCCTCATGTTTATTCATTAGCTTCATAAGGCTTCCCTATCTTTGGCACCCCAACATGTGACTGAGGTATAAATAAAGTAGCCATTCTCCTCATCTTTCTTTCCCACCTCTTTAAAGTTTTGGAAGTATCTTGTCCTTTGGATTGATCACACGTCTGCAAGCTTGTAAAAAAAAAAAAAAAAACGGACCCTAGTATGCCTTCATCTCTGTGTGTGTTTGTAGCGGTCAGTGGACTTGAACCCAGCCCAGAGGGACCTGGTGCTGAAGGTGGCTGAGTTACTGGTCAGTAAGGATGAATGTGACAGCAGAGCAGAGTTCTGGGTGGAGAAAGCGGCAAAGCTTTTGCCAGGAAACCCTGCAATCTTCAACCTGAAGGTGAGGCTTATTTTCTTTTGAATCTCCAGTAAGACCTCTGTTGTACACTGCAGCTTTATACCATTGAACTCATTTAATATCACTTTAAATTTGATTTGATTTGTACCTCACTCTGTTGCCATTGTCTTAAATTTAATCGTACTTTTCATGAACAGGACTTTGCTCGCCAGTCCTGTGTAGATCCAATCCAGGAAGGAGGTACCTAATAACTAAAAGTGCAAAGGATGCCATAATGATCATCTTTTTGGTTTATCTGTGTTGCTTCACGCAGGAGCGTCTGTTGAGTCGTCAGGGTCAGCAGGGTTGGAACCGGTTATTCGACCTTCTCCAGGCCGAGCTTGCAGCAAGGCCAGGTGATACACATGTGAATGTGAAGCTGGTTCAGTTGTTCTGTCAGGATGGCCGACTGGATGAGGCCGTCAAACATTGCCTGGCTGCTGAGAAAAGGGGCATGCTGAGCCACAGCCTGGACTGGTACACAGTGGTAGTGCGCACACTGCAGGTGAGCATATACTCAAATTTAGAGGGCCACTAGTTATAGTATATTTGATAGGGTAGGACAAGTATGCTTTTTTTGAAAGCTTCTTAAAATCTAACCTGTTCAACTCAAATAATACTAAAAATCAATGACTTTTTTTCAGGAATATCTGGCTCAGCCCAGCGTATCTAGCAATGAAAAGATGTGTCGGCGTCTCCAGAGGGAGCTGCTTTTGGCCCATTGCAGCCTCCTGAGAATCACACTGTCTGAGAGCATCATGGAGCCCAGTCGTGATGCGCTCAGAAGGTATGTCATGTTGAGGTCTTGGGGTGTTGTAAGCATACTCTGTAGACAAGCCGTATCCATGAAATCAAATCTAAACCTAAAGTCCTCTTTACTCTCATTTTTGGATTTTGAAGTAATTTCCCCCAAGACTGTTTTTATATTATATTTATAATATTTTTATATATCCTAGCCTTCTAGTCACAATTCTTTTTTTTTTCTTTCAATTAAATTTCTATGCTTACAGAAGACATACAACGTTCATGTCTTTCATAGCATTGTGAACATCTGTTTTCTTCTAGGTGACCATTTGTTTTCATTATTCCAATCAAACATAACTGCCGGAAACGCTGCACTCTATATTAAAACTGTGTTTGTGTGTGTGTAGTTTTGACCAAGCTATGCAGACACTGAGCAGCGTTGCAGGCCGCCACACAGATGAGCTTTGTGAGGTGTTTGTGGAGATGAGAGGTCACCTCTACCTGCATGCTGCCACACTGCTGTTGAAGCTAGCACAGGATCGCCAACAGACCTGGAGGGTTGTCATTGACCTGGCTGCACTGTGCTACCTGCTGGCATACCAGGTACTGACACACCAATTAACACAAATATACCCAGTACTTATCATCTAGCTAACTGCCAGTCAGTTTGTTCTTCCCTTTCCATTTACAGATTTTATTTGGCAGCCACAGCCAGGAACTATTGAATATAGTCAGCTTTTGACAGTTTGTTGTCCTTCCACCAGGTCCCCAGACCAAAGCCTAAAGTGACCAAAAGAGACCAGTCAGCCCCACCGCTCCTGGAACTGCTGGCCAACGATCGACAGAGTCAGGCTGGACACATGTTGCTCAATCTGAGCACTGATTCATCCACCTTAATCAGAGAGGTCTGTCTGTGTGTTCTGAGTCAGTTTAGTTGAAGCTTACTACCAGGTTTTTAACCAGGAATTAAGTGCTTTATGCCACATAAGGACATTTTAATTAATTATGTTATTATTAATTTAATTTGGCATGGGTAAAATATCTGACACATAAAGCCTAATCATAAAGCCTAAGTTCGGCTTTATGATTCAGCATGATGCAAACATCTTACCTCTCTGTCACAACTACAGCAGATACATTATTGCTTTGTCTTTACAGTTCAGCACTAACATTAATAATTTCTGCATCATATTCATCATATCAGACATAGACAACACTGACAAAGTGATGTTTTATTTTATATTTTTAGAAACAGACAAAATAATTTTATGTTGTCTGTGTGTAGGTGGTGGAGGCATTTGGAAATCGTAGCGGTCAGGACTCTCTGTTTGAACTCCTGTTTGGACCACAGGCCTCCACTGGATCTTCATTTATTGCCAATGATGACATTCGTTCCATTAACACCACGGCTCCAGAGCTCTCTCAGCTTGCCAAATGGGACACTGGTACAAACCTAATAATCTGACTGACTACTAATGCACCATGAAGATTTCTCCAGTTGTTTGTTATTTTCCCATTTCACTTTTATTTTTGACAGCTGTAAGATTTCACTTTTCAGGTACTCCAAAATAGTGGCAGATAAAATGCCATTTTTATTCACTCCTACATGGTAATAACTGTGGTGCCTCCTCTGTAGGCTCCATCCTACTGCATGGTGGTGACTTGCAGCATCTGAGTTGGTTGGGACTGCAGTGGACTCTCCTGGCTCAAAGACCGGCCCTACGGGACTGGTTAGCACAGCTCTTTCCTAGGCTTACCCTGGAAACTTCCAAATTGGACACAAATGCACCAGAGTCCATCTGCCTGCTGGACCTGGAGGTAAGCGGAGCCATGTGGGCTGCCTTTTCAGATTAACATAATTTATTAACGAAAGCAACAGTCCACACTGGCTATAAACGAGAAGCACGCAAGCCTTACCTGCATGACTTCAACATATGTCTTTGCTAATAAAAAATAAAAGGTTTGCTTAGCCAACTGATCTGTTTTGCCTACTGCAATCTAAATCCAATCCAACCATATACGCCTTTGCTGTTCCTTTTGGGGTTTTTTTTGTTTTTATTTATTTTTAGGGCCGGAGCAATAAAGGGTGCGAGGACCCTATTGTAATTTTTTATTGTTGTTATAATTGATTCTGAAATTTGTGGTTTCCTGCACTTCTTTCAAAATGTAAACATGTCTCTGTCTCCTGTCTTGTTTTTTCCCTCCAGGTGTTTTTACAAGGTGTGGTGTTCTGTAGTCACTGCCAGCTCCAGGAGACAGCAAAGATCAGCAGCGGAATGAACCAGCAGCAACATCAGCAGCTCTATGAACCTCGCTGCCTCCCCCTTCCTCTACTTCGCCTCTTGACCACTGACAGACAGAGGGAGTGGTGGGATGCCATCTATAGCCTCATTCACAAACGAGCAGCGTGAGTCTGAGAACTCCTGAGATCCAGATTGGATAAGGCACTCGAAGACAAAAAGTCACCAGTAACCTGGGTTAAAACTGAACATATAGTATATCTGCCTAAGTATAAGCTGTTATAAGTGATTATATCAACCACATCTGACATAATGGATATGATCAGCTACCTTTATTTACTTTAACAAATTACATTGTTTAAAGCACATTGTTTGCAGAATATCTAACAATACAAGACCAGTTATTTCAATGTTGTGTTGTGGTTATGTGTGTAAAACCATGTATGCCTTGGACCATGAGCAGTTTCAGAAAATATTCTGACAATATAGGCAAGTCAGATCAAAATCTGATATTGAGATGGCAGCGTTAGAGTGCATTATGCAAGTACAGAATCATTTTGTAGTCTGCCTGTCAAATAGTTTTTATCTCACTCTCTGAATGTTGTCAATCCTGCAAAATTTAAATAGTGATGGTGCCAGTAATGAAGTTAATGTATTTAAACGCTAAATATTAACTTAATTTAAATGTCAGTATGGCTGTTAGCTGTCAGGCTATTTCTCTTATAGACCTTAATCAGTTGCTAATTGATATTGCCTCAACATTTTCCCAAAAACACTTACATTGAAGCTCTTTGTGTCACTGTTAAAAAATATTTAGACACTAGGTCAAAAATGAAGCAGAGTATTTGAGTGTCTAGCAGTTTCATAAGTGACATGAACAGGCCAAAACAGGGTACTCACTCATTTTAGTGTAATTATTTAAACAGTGCTTTTGATGCTTGTCTTCTTGCAGCCCTAGCATGTCAGCCAAGCTACGGATGATTGTGCAGCATGGACTGAGCACTCTGAGGGCTGGAGAGAAACATGGGCTTCAACCAGCACTAGCCATCCACTGGGCTCAGTGTCTCAGCCAGACGGTACACACACATGCACACATTTTTGTTTGTTTTGTGTTTTTTTTTTTTTTTGTTTTGTTTTTTGTTTTGGTGTTTTTTTGACAGATTTTGTGTACTGATATAGTTGTTTGATTGTAGTTAGAATAGCAGAGCAAGAGTCTTTTGTGTGCCTTTAAATGGATAAGTAGTAAACTCAAAATCACTAAAAACACTGTACTTGCTAACTTAAATTGTGATTGACAAGTAAATCTACAGATTACTGTATTAAAAGTTCTTCCCCTGCCTTTACACTATGAATGCTACTTGACTGCAGTGGGAGAAAAGCATCAGTTATGTGGGTGGCAGTCATGCACACACAGACATTCAGCACAGACAGAAAAACACCACTTAGATAACACAGCACCTTGCCAGATACTGCGCAGGGACACACATGCCTTTACACCTGCTCCTTTCTGTCACTCACTCTACAACTGCTAAATGTGATCAACTTTAAGTTGTCGAAACGGCCACATGTGCTGCCTCTCTGACTGTGTGCATTTGTTTAGTGTAGAATTTGCAACTGAAGAAACTACTGCATGCACTGTTTTTCTTACCTTGTTAATATTATCTGCCCTGCATTAAGCTAATGTGGCTGGCTCACCTCCCCCGTCATCTGGCTGTGTTTGTATGTTTAATAACCCAGGGTGATGGAGTGAACTCGTACTACGACCAGAAGGAGTACATCGGCCGCAGTGTCCACTACTGGAAAGTTGTCCTCCCACTGTTGGAAAGGATCAAAAACAGACGCAGTATACCTGAACCCCTTGACCCCCTCTTCATACACTTTCCCTCCAAAGACATACAGGTTAATATTGTGCTCATGGTTTCTTTTTATTATAAGACAGTTTGGATATGGGTTGGGTGGCTGCACCTTGTCCACTCTTTCCTGAGACAGTCTAGTCTTGAGTCTAAAGATGTGAAGGTTTTTCGCTTTGCCTGTAAATAACATCATCTTTGAATCTCTGGCATAAGAATAGCTATTAGATTCAGTCTTTTATGCTTTCATGAATTATGAACACGAGTGCTGTGCTGTGTGAGTGTGTTTCTTTTCTTGGTTTGGAATTCATTTAATGAATGACCTTTGTTTTTTTTATTTAAGAACTTAATAAATTGTTGTCAAACAGGTCACACATTTTTTTTGTTGACATTTTTCAATCAGTCAGTAGTACTGTAGGTCAAATGGTAGAGCATGATAGATGTTAGAGTTTGCGGTTTGATTCCCACTTACAGTTTGTATCTGTCCCTGTTCAGATTTCATCTGTGAAGGGTTATGAAGAGGAATTCAAGATAGCATATGCGACTCTCCTTGACATTGAAGGCAGGACAGAAGAGGCCATTGCTACCTTGGAAACCATCAATAACATGTCATCCGTCTGGCATTTGGCTCAGGTAAGTCATTGGCTTCTACACAACATAAATGAGATAAGTTAGTTATTTTTTGTATTTATGTATGTATTTACTCACTCACTCACTCACTCACTCACTCACTCACTAACTCAGTTTTAGGTTTACTCGATCAGCTCCCACTGATGGCAACTAATGGCTACAAAGTCCCTTAAAAAGCAGGAATAATAAATTATGTAATAAAATAATCTCTTATTAAGAATAGATGACATTTTATGAGCTTAGGCCTAATAAACATGCATCTTGGGAGGTGTGTTAGCACCAGACCTGATAATACAGATGTAGATGTGCTTATTCTAACTATTTTTCATAGTAATGAAAACTGTGAATACGGTTTTGTTTGTATTGCAGCACATTTTGATGATTGATGCCAATAGTAGTATGAAATGGCAAAGTGGGAACAATTACAAAATTATCCATTGTCAGTGCCACAACATGTACATAAGAGTTTTTTGACGTGGGGTTGTTTGAGGTACTCATGAATAGTCGTTACATTACCCACAGTAGATTCTGTCCAGCGCGCAGTTAGAACGCAAACCGGGAGCACAGGACCTCGAGAGAAAAAAAACATGTCATAGAGAGTTTTAAAAACACCCACCGAAACAGTCCAGTATCCATTTAAATGTACACTTGATGTAGAATATTTTCAGCAGTTTATCTTTGCGTCAAAACAGCACCTTCCATTTGACATTTTTCAACCGCTGAACTACCCTATTCCTATTTGTTGATGATTCCCAAAAATTCACCTGGATCAGTCCGCTAACGTGATATCAGATTGGTGTATCTTAATATGGAAGCTGGTGCTTCTGACACCTGTCCATGTTCATGTTCAATTTTTTTTATGATGTGCTCTGTTTCCTTGGCAGATCTACCAGCGGCTGTCAGAGGAGGCCAGCAATGGGGTTGAGGAGACCCAAGACAGGTGCATCACGTTCCTGAGAAAGTTCAGGACCTACTTGTCTAAGATCTACAATGCCAATGCTGACGACATTGACAAGGTAATTTTTTGAACCTTCAAAATATCAAAGACAAAACTAGCGACTTAAAATTTCACAATTCATGTTTAATGACATACTATTTGCTGATTGAGTTAGCATGATGGACACTGGTTATACTTGTAAATGTGAACTCTGCAGCAGAATAACCCACGTTTTGTGTCCCAGCTGCCTGTGTCCATGGAGGAAGTTGTGGACCTCCTGAATGACGTGAACCAGCAGTTGGGGGAGAGTGGGGAGGCCATGGATGAAGACGAGGAGAAAGAAGAGGATTGTCGAAGAAGACCAGCCCACTCTAGCCCTGCTCATCCCACAGAAACCAGTGCCACCATATCCCACATCAAGTTTTCCACTCCCTCTCCTAACAAAAGCTTGGTCTCTCCTTCCAAAAGATTGGTAGGTTCACATTTTTGGTTATCAAGACCACTTGAGGCTTCTTTGTGTCTTTTTAAATTTTAAATGTTTCCTTGTAGTTATCCTAGAGATTTTGATTCAAAACACAATTAGTAACTTTCTTATAATTTCTTTACCTTGTCATTCAGATTTCTCCCAAGACACCACCTCATTGGGTGGAGGACCAGAAAAGTCTCCTTCAGATGCTGTGTCAGCAAGTTGAAGCCCTCAAGGTCAGGATTAGAGATTAAACATCTTTTTTTAAATTTGATTTCACACAACCTGACATGTGATTCCATTTAGAAGTAATAGGTGATCACTAACATTACTTAAGTTTAAAAGCAAAACTCGAAGCCAGTAGAGTGGTGAGTATGGTATGCTGTTAGCCATAGTTGGGTGCATTATGCTGAATTTATCATGACAAAAGGTAAACATGGACAAAGGAGTTTGCAGCAACAGTAAATCAGAAATCAGGGAAGCTACTTATGGGAATGTGAAAGTATATTTAGAAAACAGGAGAAATTGCACATGATTCTTATGATAACCCTGCAGTCGAGGAAAACAAATACCCCAGGAACTGTGTGACAGACATTCATTAACATGAGAATGTCACAGTATAAAATGTTGATTTTCTACATGGATTGATGCCAAATCACCATTGTATGTACATTTTTAGATTTTGGTCTAAATGTTTTGTATAGATGTGTCAAATTGTTTCTCATTAAGCTCCTTGTTTTGCAGAATGAAGTTCATGATCTGAGGCACAACTCTTCGGGGAACGCAGGCTCTCCTCATCATAAGATGTATGGGGAAAGCTACGGGGCTGAGGGCCTACAGGAGCCTTTTACCCCAGTCCAGTCCTACCACGGTGCCCCTTTAACAGGTAAACACAGCACATAGAACCAAAGCATGTCTAAATATTCTATATTTTTCTCTACAAGTATTAGACAGACTTTGCTTGTAAAATTAACAATCTTCATATATATAATTTGTCCTTCTTTAAGTTGCCACCACAGGCCCTTCTGTGTACTACAACCAATCTCCAGCTTACAACTCTCAGTATCTCCTGCGCACAGCAGCAAATGTAACCCCCACCAAGGTAATCATCATCTAACATTGGTTTACATTAATAAACTTGCTTTGGAGTACACAGAGTAACATTTGATTTTTATTCTTCTCTCTTTACACAGGGCCCAATGTATAGTATGAACCGTATGCCACCTCAGCAGCATATGTATGCCTACCAGCAGCCCACTCACACACCTCCACTGCAAACAGCCCCAACCTGCATTTACCCTCCTCAAGAGCAAGTCTTTGGTGCCCCTCTGCGATTTGAATCGCCAGCCACAAGCCTTCTTTCCCCATATAGTGAAGAATATTATGGCCAGAGTGTAACCCAACAAACCACTAACCCTCCTCTACCTGAGCCTGGCTACTTCACCAAGCCATCTGTTGTCCCTGTTCAGCCACCAAAGAGCATAGAAGGAAAGCCAGTGGACTTTGGGAAGCTGTCTTTCAGTCAGCAGGCACCTGCTGAAGTCCCCAAAGTGCCTAGTTTTGGAGCAGGGGCAGTTGCCCAGTCAACACCTTCAGCTGCTTTTAAATTCAACTCCAACTTTAAATCCAATGACGGAGATTTCACTTTCTCAGCTTCTCAGGCCAAGCACAGTGAAAGTCTCCTTGGTCTTCTTACGTCAGACATTCCCACTAAAACAGATGCTGTTCCAGAGAAGCCTCCTACTCAGGAGCAGCCTACCAGCCAAACAAGCATTTTCACCTTTGGCACTAAAAGTGCTACTAGCTTTTCCTTTGTTGATTCTGCACAGAACACTGGCACTGGAAGTCTCTTTGGAAATGTGGACCAGCCATTTAAATTTGGGGATGTTACCAAGCCAGTATTTGGGTTACCCAATTATGCAGCAGAAGAAGAAAGGGCAGCAGAAAGTGACAATGACAGCACTCATGTTGAAGAGGATGAGGATGGCCCTCATTTTGAACCCATTGTACCTCTTCCCGATAAAGTAGATGTGAAAACGGGTGAGGAAGAGGAGGAGGAGATGTTTTGCAATAGGGCAAAGCTATATCGATTTGACACAGAGACAAAAGAGTGGAAGGAGCGGGGTATTGGCAATGTCAAAATCCTAAAACACAGCACTAAAGGGAAGGTCCGCCTCTTAATGAGAAGGGAACAGGTCCTTAAGATCTGTGCCAACCACTACATCACTGTTGATATGCTACTGAAACCGAATGCTGGCTCTGACAAATCCTGGGTCTGGAATGCCATTGATTATGCAGATGAAGAGCCTAAGACAGAGCAACTGGCCATCCGCTTTAAAACAGTAGATGAGGCATCGCTTTTCAAAGCTAAGTTTGAGGAAGCCCAGAAAATTGTACTCAAATCGCCAGAAGTGCACGATCAACAGGAGAAGAAAGAGGAAAGCTTAAAAGATTCAGAGTCACTGGCAGCCCAGTTTGCACTCAAAGAAGGGGAATGGGACTGCACTGTGTGCTGTGTAAGAAATAAACCCACAGATATGCGGTGTGTTGCATGTCAAAGTGTCAATCCCAATTCTTCATCTAAACCAGACATTCAGGCTTCTGCTGAAACCAAAGCCAGTCCCTTTACATTCAAATTTGGGACTGATTCATCAAAACCCAGTAGTTCTGGCTCTACATTTACTGGATTTGGTGCTTTTGGTGCTTCTATACCATCTTCATTTACATTTGGGACTGGCACCTCAAAACCTGCTGACACAGTAACCAGTGCGTTTGGTTCTGGCTTTGGAAAGAAGCCAGGGCAGTGGGACTGTGACACATGTTCTCTGAGAAATGAGGGCTCTGCAGACAGTTGTGTTTCTTGTAAAGCTGTTAAAGCCTCAGCTAAAACAACTGCCACAGCACAAACCACACCAGCTGTAGATGCACCTGCAACGCAGCCCTCTATATCTGCTGTTGATTCTGGGTTTGGTGCCCAGTTTAGCAAGAAGCCTGGGCAGTGGGACTGTGATGTATGCGAAGTAAGAAATGAAGCCTCTTCTGACAAATGTGTTGCCTGTAATAGCCCCAACCCTGCTGCCAAGTCAACAGAGGGGGCTCCAGTATCATCAAATCTGACAGCAATTTCAGGATTTGGGGCTGATTTTGCAAAGAAAGATGAGTGGAGCTGCAAAGCCTGCCTGGTCAGAAATGATGCATCAGCTGCTGAATGTGTTTCCTGCCACACCCCAAATGAGGCACCCTCTTTAGAAGCCATGTTTGCCAAGAAAGATGGAGAATGGGATTGTGACACTTGTCTGGTGAGAAACAATGCTTCTGCCAGTAAGTGTTTGGCTTGTCAGACACCAAATCCCAATGCTAAAAGCACAACCAGCACTGCTCCCTCAGCCTCCACCTTCAGCTTTACCTTTGGAACCAAGAGTTCATCAAGTCAGCCTGCTGGAACTGGATTCACAATGCCTTTTGGAACTGGCAGCACTTTTCAGTTTGGTCAAAACAAAGATAAAAGCTCAGCTTCTTCTTTCAAGTTTGAAGCTCCTCAGTCTGGATCTAGTACCACAAGTGCTTCAGGCTTTTCATTCTCAATGCCCATTCCATCCAGTGGCTTCAAGTTTGGCATTCAGGACACTAGTAAAGAAACCCCCTCAACTGATAATCCAACACCTCCATCAGGGTCAGCCTCCAGTTTTCTTAAAAGCATAGCAGAGAAACACAATGAGAAAGAAAATGAGTCTACTTCCTCAGTGGATCAAACGGAGCAAGATCAAAATCCATTAATTTCTGGAAAAACCGATACATTCAGTTTTGCTGACCTGGCAAAGTCGTCTGGAGCAGACTTCCAGTTTGGCCAGAAAGACCCCGATTTCAAAGGTTTCTCTGGGGCCGGTGAGCAGGTGTTTTCATCATTCCAGGCAACCCCCACAAAGGCAGATGCCTCAAATGAACTGGAGGATGACGGCATGTATAAAACGGAGGAAAATGATGATATCCAGTTTGAACCAGTGGTTCAGATGCCGGAGAAGGTGGACCTGGTGACAGGGGAGGAGGATGAACAAGTTCTTTATTCTCAGCGCGTCAAACTTTTCAGATTTGACTCCAGCACCAGTCAGTGGAAAGAGCGTGGTGTGGGAACCCTCAAATTCCTGAAAAACAACAGTAATGGCAGGCTCAGGGTGCTGATGAGAAGAGAGCAGGTTCTGAAGGTGTGCGCCAACCACTGGATCACCACCACCATGAATCTTAAGCCCTTGGCAGGCTCGGATAAAGCATGGATCTGGATGGCCAATGACTTTTCTGATGGAGATGCTAATCTTGAACAGCTGGCTGCTAAGTTTAAAAGCTCAGAGCTTGCTGAGGAGTTTAAAGAGAAGTTTGAAGAGTGTCAGAGACTTCTTTTGGACATTCCCCTACAAACCCCCCACAAGCTGGTTGACACAGGTAGAACGGCACATCTCATTCAGAAAGCAGAGGAAATGAAGTCTGGTTTGAAAGACCTGAAATTCTTTTTGACTGATGAGAAAACAAAGATCAAAGATGATGAAAACCAGGCAGATGTTACAACATCCAGCAACGTGTCAAGCCTCGTAATCAAGGCTCACAGTGAAACCACTGGCCCCACCTTGGAGTGGGATAACTATGACCTACGAGAAGAAGCGTTAGATGATACTGCTGACTCATCAGTCTATGCCTCTCCCATCGCCAGTAGCCCCTTGAGAAAGAACCTTTTCCGCTTTGGAGAATCTACGGGTGGGTTCAGCTTCAGTTTTCAACCTGGCATTAGCCCATCTAAGTCTCCTGCTAAACTTAACCAGAGCAGAGCCTCAGTGGGTACTGATGACGAGCAAGATGTAACCCAGGATGAAGAGAGGGATGGCCAGTACTTTGAACCTGTGGTCCCCTTGCCTGATCTGGTGGAGATTTCTACAGGAGAGGAAAATGAACAGGTAGTCTTCAGTCATAGGGCCAAACTGTATCGCTACGACAAAGAACTGGGTCAGTGGAAGGAGAGGGGTATCGGAGACCTCAAGATCTTGCAGAATTATGACACCAAACGAGTGAGGTTGATAATGAGAAGAGACCAGGTACTTAAGATCTGTGCCAACCATTGGATCACAGCAACCATGAAGCTTGAACCTATGAAAGGTGCTGAGAAGGCCTGGGTCTGGAGTGCCATGGACTTTGCTGAAGTAGGAGAGGCTAATATTGAGCAGTTAGCTGTGAGATTCAAACTGCAGGATACTGCAAATACATTCAAACAGGTCTTTGAGGAGGCTAAGGTTGCACAAGGGAAAGAGGAACTTATGAACCCAGTGACATCTGGAGTTGTCACATCTCAAGACAGTGGAGCTGCAGGATCTGCAAAGACTGCTACAGCTGTATGTGGGAAGGCAGCCATTGCTGTTCTGGAAGAGACCACAAAGGAATGTACAGAGCTTTCCCCTGACAGTAAGCCATGTGCACCTGGGTCTCCGGGTCCAGCCAACACCTCAAAGACAGTGGTGTCTCCCCCTAAGTTTGTCTTTGGCACTGATAGCCTTCAGAAGATTTTTGGCACTCCTAAATCTCATTCTGAGACAGAGGAATCTGCATCTGGTTCGAAAGCCAAAGATTCTGGACGACCTGCCAAGGCTTCACTTGCAGCACCTGCGTTCAAAATCCCAGAGAAAGGTAAAAAAGAAACACATCTTAATACAGTATATGTGAAATATTTGTCTGATTTTCTGTTTTTGAATGAGTATCATGACTGTTTTGTTCATTTTATTTTTACTTCATTGTCTTGTTCCATCTGCATCTCATTGCTCCATCATCTTAGTTGACCCAGCCAAGACCCTCCTCAGTTTTTACTAGGACAGAAATTGGAAAATTGGATTAAAATCTGATTTCTCATTTCATCCACATGTAGCCACTTTCTATGCTGTATATTGTTTAATTTACTCAAGATATCCCTGTATCTTTAGTAAACATGAATACAGTAAATGATCTACAGCAGGTTTTTGGTTCTGCACATACTGTATGTTGCATACCCATAGATTGTCTAGTACCAATACTTAGAACACATTTTTATATATTTCAGTCAGCACACGGTCATAGTATTTAACATTTTTATTTGAACACTTTTGGCCTTGTTTTCTGATTATGATACCAACCTCACAATTAGTTTCTCTTCGCCCAACAACCCATCATCCCTTAGGGCTGGATTTTAGGCTTTTCAAAGATAACCCAATGGCTTTTTGGACCAGCACATCAACCACCCAATTTGAACCCCCAGGTACTCTAATCACTGCAGTGTGTGTTAACACTTCTCAGCTGTCACCTGGCTGGCCCTTACTACTAGAGAAAAATAACCTGGATGCACGGAGTGGAAAAACCAGTGGAGCTAATGTTTTGCATGTCCAGTGTGTGGAGGTGCAGTTTTTAATATACAAAGAATTTTATTAATTTATAATAATACATCATATCATATAATCTAAGATATTATAGATATATAATATTATACATATATATATATATATATATATATATATTATAATAAGAGTCTCACACAGGAGGAAGTTATACAAAATGACAAAATGTGGTGTTTTGATTTTCTGTATCTGCTAATTCATCAGTCATTGTCGAAGTAGTGAGTGATGCAGTTATATAATCTCATAAAAGGCAGTTAATTAAAATGACAAAATGTGGTGTTTTGATTTTCTGTATCTGCTAATTCAGTGCTCCTCCTTTAGATTTAGTTCAATAAAAGAAGATCCATTTTATCTTAGATGAGTTGTAATTCAGTATTATCATAAATGATTCTTTCATATGACTCATTATAAACTTAGCAGTTTGACATCGTGGTTCACAGCTCCCATGTCTAAATGAATTTAAGTGAAATTTGACCAAAAACTATTAGTTTGAGCTCTTATATTGTCGTTAGATTTTTCCTCTTGTAAACTTTCAATTTTATCTTCACAGTGTTTCTCCTGCTAACCAAAGAGCAAATGTCAAATTATGTTAGGTTAGACTTTCTCTTATCTGAGTCTTGAATCTCGATCTTAAGGACAGTCATAAGATCTCATACTATGCTTGAGTTCATAGGGGTGTAAAGGTTTTTCAGTGATGCTAAAATTGGGTTGGGTAAGGAAATGTGATAATGTAATGAGGTAATTACTAATGACCAGTTGATTAAACAATAGACAGAATCAAACTTGAGTTTTGAATCCCAACAGCAGGCACGTCAGTTAAAGTTAATGTCTATTGAAAAGTGAGCTGAGAAGATTCCACACAGAGTGTTCCCTCAGAGAGGAATGCACTGTGCAAACGTCACACACTCCATTTTTAGTGCAGGATGTGTAGCAACAGTGTGAAATGCAATTCCCTGTCCAGTCTGGCTTCTGCCAGTTATGTGCAAAGGCCAATTAGAGTTAAAGCTGTGGTATTTATGCGGTTTAATTTTACAATATCATGTGTCCAACAAGTGGTGTAGTCCGTCAAATAGAATGAAAAACACAGAGACATGCATACAGAAATGTTCTCTTAATACAAGTTGTCTCACACATTTGTAAATCAAATGCATGCCGTTCCTTTTTGCTGTGCATGACTTTTTTGTGTGTGTGGAACTAACACCTGCGGTTATATAGGGAATGAAGCAGATTCATCTGTTCTAAGCAGTTCCTTACCTGCCTGTCTATGTACTGTTCTACTTGTGTGTCACAGGGCCCCCTCAGGCAGAAGGAGGTGGTGCAGGGTTGGAGGAGGACTCAGAAGTGGAGATTGTGTATGTCAGGGAACCCACTGCTGAACAGGCAGCTTTAGCCAGGAAACTCCTGCTGCCATTCACTTTCTTCTGCTACCAGAATGAACCAGGCTACTCCAGTGATGATCATACTGATGGTAACTAACATACAAAACAAGAATAAGAAAATACAACAAGAATATAAAAGAGTGAAATTTTTGCAAAATTTCTTTTAATATTTTCCATAGATAGTATAGTCACCTTTCATTAATTTACTGTCAGCTCATTCATGAACAGAAATATAGTCTTAATCCCCTTAGAGTGGTAGAAAAGCTCTTTAGTGCTTTTGCATTGTGCTGTTTTATTGAAGCAAGCTCACCTTGCTTTATGCCTATGTGACTACGGTAAATACATTCCATATAACCATCACGAAATTTGAATATAGGAAAAATAAATGTAAATCACTCTTGTTCCAATGTCCAAGTCTGTAGGAGTGAAGTGGGAACAATGGAATCAACATATCTTCTCTCTTGGCAAACATGATTACGAAATGTAATTTACGCTAAATACTTGAATTTGTTTTGATTTCCAGATGAGGACTACGAGTCAGCAGTAAAAGCCTTGAATGGAAAGCTCTACCCTGATCCTCCTGAGAAAAAGGATGCAGCATGTGGTGATGGTATGTATGTTACATCCTGTCACACAGTGATACTCTATTATGTCCAATAGCTCAACCTCACTTATTCATCAAGTACCATTGCTTTGATTCAGTGTGCCACTCTCTAGCCCTAAACTTGTGTATACTGCATTCAGAGCCAGACTGCCAGGTGGTGTGGGAGAAGAAGCCGACGCCGGAGGAGGAGGAGAAGGCCAAAAGCCTCCAGCTTCCACCCACCTTCTTCTGTGGCCTGAGCACCACAGACAGCGACACAGACCACGACAAGCCTGAAGACTTTGAGACAGAAGTCCGCAAGGCACAGCAAGACCTGGTAACAGATACAGCATTTAGAAAAGCACTGAATAATAATTGAAGGCAAATAAGCATACAAGTAGACTGAATCTAAATGCTAGGGATGTCCCAATAGTTTTTTGGCCCTGATCCGAGTCCTTTAATACTGGGTATCTGCCAAAACCAAGTCTGATCTGAGACTTACGCTATGAGCTTATTGATCCAAACACTGAAGATCATGGTTGAAAAATATAAAGTTCATAAGCTTAAATTATTGATATGATATGAAATGAAAGTTGATTTGGAAGAATACTACTCTGACCGTGATGTCTCACTAAAAAAAACTGGGTTCACTTGTGTTTTTTTTTACAGTGGTGTTGCAGAGTGGAGGTTCTTTCCTCAGAAGCTATTTTTGATGAGAACTGACAGTGTTGCGTAGAGAGCTCACAAACCGACAACAGCCAAGTTTAATTTAGGACTGTCATCAACTTGCTAACAGAATCAACATTAATTAGTAACAGCTGATCTGGCGTACTGTTGGCGACATTTGTATTTATGTTTGTGTATTTCTCCAACCTCAGTGTCTGAACTGAGACTCATTCACCGCTGCACCCAAATAATTACATTCACACTGGCTAATTTTCTCTGGCTTATGAAGCAGGATGCTGGCTGTCCTAAAGAAGAGGTGCTGCAACCCTAGCCGGCTGCCCAGATCAGCCCTGATACCGATCCTTAGGATATGCTTGGGACATTTCTACTAAACACAATAGATGACACAGTATTCATGCATGTGGTAGATTCAAAAACACAACTGTTTCTCCTCCATCAATGTGATGGCCAGGTTATATTATTTATATTTTGTTAATGTAGCATTTATAGCACAATTATGGTATCAATATTTGTTATTGTCAAAAATGTATTTGTTGCGGTGAAGGTAATGTGAGTTTCATTCCTAAATTTGTATTAGGATGCCCAGTTAAACAAAGCTGGAATGGCCTCCACTGCTGAACCCTCAGAGGAGCTGCTGCCAGTCCCATCATCCAGCAGCACAGACACCGCAGGCAGCATATCTGCACCTGAGGAGCAGACCTCAGACCAGCCAACAGAGACTCAAAGTGAAGCTCCTAGCAGCAGCTCTCCCATTGACCTGTCAACAAAGAAGAGCTCAGAGCCAGATTCCAACGGTGGGACTGCAGCTTCTACTGTTTCTTCTACTACAACCAGTCAAGGTATAGACTATTTCCTGTTCCTCACTGTAGATGTAAGACCACTGACAGTCTACCCGTTGAGTGTGGAACCTTACTGGTTTGTTCAATTTGAGATACAATCTTCTAAGTCAAAATATTCCTGCCAGCTTTAGAAACAAACAACCGTCTTCACAAGATTTATCAATGATGTATTACATGTAATCATTGATAAACTGGTGTGTTGATCTGTTCACCGGCTCATCAGTATATGTATCTGTGGAAGCACTTAGTCCAGTTGACTCCCTTCCCCAAACTTAACAGTGGGAAAGGAGGAATTATTAGCATCACTACAGGCCTAACAGCCCAAACCTGTGTGAAGTTAAGAAGCTCTGACATTCACTTCAATTTAACAGCATCCATGTTTGTATATTATGAAATTCAGTTCTGTTCGGCTCAAATGTTGTTACCCCATTTAAGTTTTCTATACTGTTCAAAGGTAGTGTAAAGTGAAAAGTCCAAAAATCAAATCAAAACTAATTTGTCTCTCAGAACTTTTTTCTTTCCCTTCAAACCTATTAATCATGGATGTATCAATATTGTTAATGTAATAACATCACACTTACTGGAGCCATTTTTATGATGAGTACTTGCTTTTGATATGGAGTTCATTGCATTACATTGTGTCATTGGTACGTTTTAAGCAAAAAAGAAAAAAAAAAATTCAAAACTTCCTCTACCACTGAGTATCATCTTTGACTTCAAGTTATGTTTATGGCAGGGTTATTGCTTCACATAACTTTACACTGTTCATGATGCTGTGTCCAACCCAGTGTCTGTGGGAGTTGTGCAAACAAAGAGAAGATGTGAAATAAACTGCATTAAGTTAAGTACTTAATTATAACTTTGTCCCTCCCACCACAGACTCTTCCTTTGGCTTCAACTCATTTGGTGGCTTCTCCTTTGCTGACTTGGCCAAAAACACAGAGGGATTTGCATTTGGAAACAAAGGTTGGCTTTTCTTTTCGACAACTGTCTTGCCATGTCTCTATTGGTCTCTACTAAGGTATCATCACAGCAAGATTATATTTCACTACATATTTATTGTTTTCTCTTTCATGTAGACTCCAACTTCTCGTGGGCAAACGCTGGAGCGACAGTTTTTGGGCCCGCAGTGTCCTCAGCACCAAAAAACAACGGTGATGAAGAGGGCAGTGATGAAGAGGATGCTCCTAATAATGTGGACATTCACTTTGAGCCAATAGTGTCACTACCAGAGGTAGCTTACACTGCTGAGCTGCAATGTTTTTTTATAATACATTAAATTAAATAAGTTTAGTGAATGCTCACCACAGCTCATCGTGTTGTCTCTCTCTCAGGTGGAGACGAAGTCTGGGGAGGAGGACGAGGAAATCCTGTTTAAGGAGCGTGCCAAGCTGTACCGATGGGACCGGGACCTCGGCCAGTGGAAGGAGCGTGGCATTGGTGACCTCAAGATCCTCTTCCACCCAACCAAACATTTCTACCGAATCCTTATGAGAAGAGAGCAGGTGCTGAGGGTTTGTGCCAACCACACCATCTCACAGGCGATGGAGCTCAAACCCATGAACGCCTCAGCTAATGCACTGCTGTGGACTGCCACCGACTACTCAGGTACACACACAGTGTTGATATGAAGTGAGTTTCTGCACCACATTAGTCTGTTCTTGGTTTCAGTCTCCTCCTCTGTTTTTCCAGACGGCGACGGCGTAGTGGAGCAGCTGGCAGCAAAGTTCAAAACCCCTGAGATCGCCGAAACCTTCAAGAAGACCTTCTGTGAGTGTCAGAGCCGAATGGGCCCAGCCGGCAGCGACGCCTCATGTATCTTCTCACCACAGATGTCTAGAGTTCAAGAGCACTCCAGAGACAGTAATCCACAGGTGTTCCTCAAAGTGTCAGCTGATGGCCAGACACTAGGAACTATCACCATAGAGCTTTTCTCCCATATTGTCCCCAAGACGGCAGAGAACTTCAGGGCTCTCTGCACCGGAGAGAAAGGCTTTGGACTGCGGGAGTCCATCTTCCACAGAGTCATACCAGCCTTCATGTGTCAGGTGAGGAGATGACTTCAGTTTCACTAATAATTACAATGTGAAACTTGCTCACTGGTGTTTACTGTACATGTTTGTAATAATGGCACTCGTATATTTGACTACAGTGTTTAATCTTCACCTGGCAAAACAAAATCCAGCAGATATTATTGTTACCTTAGAGCTGTATTTGAATGGATGTGATTAATCTGCTTGGGTCAATGCCTCAAATATTGCACGTCATGGACTGGCATCTTAAAATGATATTCACGTGTGGTGTCACTACGAACCTCAGTGTACAATTATGCAGCGAGGAAGAACAGCATAACAGCTACCTCATGATATATAATTGAAGCACATGCATCTGTAATACTTCATGATCCAAGTTGTTAAATAATTATTTTACTAATAAAGAATATTGTTTTTTATAATTCCATCAAATCATTACTGTATATCACGGAGGAAATAATGTATTTTTCAGTAATAGAGCTCTATGTAACACTACTAACAAGTTCTCCAATGGTCTTGTAGGGCGGTGACATCACAAACAGTGACGGCACAGGAGGAAAGTCCATCTATGGCAGCAAGTTTGAGGACGAGAACTTTGATGTTCGGCACACAGGTCCAGGTATTCTGTCAATGGCCAATCGTGGGCGCGACACCAACAACTCACAGTTCTTCATCACCCTGAAGAAAGCCGAACACCTAGACTTCAAACACGTGGCTTTCGGTTGGGTTCGGGATGGCATGGATGTGGTGCAACAGATGGGAGAGCTGGGTACCAAGGGAGGCACGCCCACGAAGAAGCTGGTCATCACAGACTGTGGGCAGCTGTAGCTTTTTAAATGTTAACATCAAGATTCACAGCTTGGTTGAGGTTATAAAGTCAAGGTCAGAGAGGCCTTTGGATAATGATCCCTGTGCAGTGCATAGCCTCCTGCTCCGTAGTGATTAGGCATCTGAGAATTAAACACCATCATAGGACTACTGGCCAAGACCTTTCATTTTAGAAACTTGACTCCAGTAACCTGGGATTAGAAATTATTTTTCTTTATAAATTATTATTTCACAAATGGGAAAGATGGTGTAGTGATACGTGGGGGAGGAGGCACTTGGAGCAAACATAATATATTGTTGCTCTGTTGCACTTGCATCTTAGTCTGTCAATAAATTCCCATTTGTTTATTTTGTGTGTATAATTGTACATGGACTACTTTTTTAATGTCTATTTTTGTTTTTCTGTCTTGCATGTGTTCAATTTGAACGTGCTGGTCCTCTTCATAAGCTCCACTTGGGTATTTTTTCCCTTTTTGATGAAGTCTTAACTATAACTGAAAAGTGAGGTTGTTATTTGAGAGCACCTGTTGGTTTGTAACTGTGCCCCTGCCTTCTCTCCAAATGCTGCCTCTGTGTACTTCTGACATTAGGGCTCCCCCAGTGATTTTTCTTTGTGCAGATGGATTTCACAATGTTCGGATAATTGGGCTTCATATTTGACCACATAAACTTGAGTCATCTCACTGTGTTGTCCTGTGGACACAGGGTGGCTGGACGATCACATTACATCTGGTTTGGATTTTACAAAGGCAACACATTATCATTTGAGATGATCACTATTAAAATAAAAATGGTGCTTGTAACAAAATAGTATGATGATAAAGGACAAATAAAGTTGCTTTACAAGTACCAGATGTTTGTTGATTGAAAGATTTTCTTTGAAATGTTCCATGTTTATCTTTGCTTTGTACATCAGACTGTTACGGAAACATCTACACAAGATCTGCATGAGTCTGATACTGATTTTATGTTACAGTCTACATGTCAATACTTATATCCTAATCACAGGCTGTTCTCTTAGTGTGGGCATGTGTTAACAGTTCAAGCAGAGTCATTTTCCTTCTTAAATTGTTTCAGTTGAATTTCCATTCTACACTAAGATTTCACATGGCCATTACAGTATTTTTAGCATCAGTATATTCAATCTTAAAGGTGCTATATGTAAGTATTTTAGTTCAAAACATTCAAAAATTCTTTCGATGGGATCACATCAGCCATGATGTCTGTAAACATTAATACTCAGTCATTACTACATTATTACAGAGTACTTTACTTATGGGTCAGACTACACCCGTCTTCCAACTCGGCCTTCATTTGATGTCAACTACACCCGTAAAGGTTTGTGACTATTTTGCATGGATGTGAAACCATCCAGCCATGTTTTTGCGTCTGGTAATTATCAATGGAATGAAGAAACAAGTCTTGACATCATGTCAATGAAATACAAGTCCTGCCCAAGGCATAAGCTAAATAAGTGTCTGCTTGGGGCCACAGGGGGGCCCCCAACAGCACCATGACATTTTTTATGCCTTAGTATACTATGATGTTTTTTATGCCTAACTAAACTATGACATTTTTTATGCCTTACAATAATATTATGTTTTTATGCCTTACTATACTATGACCTTTTTAGGCCTTATTATACATGTTTTTAAGCCTCACTATACTATGACGTTTTCATGCTGTCTTTATGCCTTACTATACTATGACGTATTTTATGACTTACTCTACTATGTTTATGATGCATTACTAAACCATGACATTTTTATGCCTTAGTATACTATGACGTTTTTATGCCTTACTATTCTACGACATTTTTTATGCCTAACTATACTATGACGCATTTATGCCTAACTATACTATGATGTATTTTATGATTTACTCTACCATGACGTTTTTGATGCATTACTATACCATGACATTTTTATGGCTTAGTATACTATGGCGTTTTTATGCCTTACTATACAATGACGTTTTTATGACGTTTTATGCCTTACTATACTATCACGTTTTATGCCTTACTATACTATCACATTTTATGCCTTACTATACTATCACATTTTTATTACATTTTATACCTTACTATGTGATGACGTTGTATGCCTTACTATACTATGACGTTTTTATGACGTTTTACACCTTACTATACTATCACGTTTTATGCCTTACTATACTATCACATTTTTATTACATTTTATACCTTACTATATGATGACGTTGTATGCCTTACTATACTATGACGTTTTTATGCCTTACTATACTATGACGTTTTTATGACGTTTTATGCCTTACTATACTATGACGTTTTAATGCCTTATTTTAGTATGACATTTTATGCCTTACTATATTATGACGTTTTTGTTACGCTTTATGCCTTGATATACTATGACGTTTTCATGCCTTACCATACTATGGCGATTTTATGACCTTTTATGCCTTAATATACTATGACGTTTTCATGCCTTACTATATTATGACGTTTTTGTGCCTTACTATACTATGGCGATTTTATGACATTTTATACTATGACGTTTTCATGAAATTTTTATACCTTACTATATTATGACGTTTTTATGACTTTTTTTTACCTTATAATACTATGACGTTGTATGCCTTACTATACTATGACGTTTTTATGACCTTTTATGCCTTAATATACTATGACGTTTTCATGAAATTTGTATACCTTACTATATTATGACGTTTTTGTTACGCTTTATGCCTTAATATACTATGACGTTTTCATGAAATTTGTATACCTTACTATATTATGACGTTTTTGTTACGCTTTATGCCTTAATATACTATGACGTTTTCATGAAATTTGTATACCTTACTATATTATGACGTTTTTGTTACGCTTTATGCCTTAATATACTATGACGTTTTCATGAAATTTGTATACCTTACTATATTATGACGTTTTTGTTACGCTTTATGCCTTAATATACTATGACGTTTTCATGCCTTACTATATTGACGTTTTTGTGCCTTACTATACTATGACGATTTTGTGACATTTTATACTATGACGTTTTCATGAGATTTTTATACCTTACTATATTATGACGTTTTTATGACATTTTTTACCTTATAATACTATGACGTTGTATGCCTTACTATACTATGACAATTTTATGACGTTTTATGCCTTACTATACTATGACATTTTTATGCCTTATTATACTATGACGTTTTTATGACCTTTTATGCCTTAATATACTATGACGTTTTCATGCCTTACTATATTATGACGTTTTTGTGCCTTACTATACTATGACGATTTTATGACATTTTATACTATGATGTTTTCATGAGATTTTTATACCTTACTATATTATGACATTTTTATGACATTTTTTACCTTATAATACTATAACGTTGTTTTTGTTACGCTTTATGCCTTGATATACTATGACATTTTCATGCCTTACCATACTATGACGATTTTATGACATTTTATGCCTTACTATACTATCACATTTTTATTACATTTTATACCTTACTATATGATGACGTTGTATGCCTTACTATACTATGACGTTTTTATGCCTTACTATACTATGACGTTTTTATGACGTTTTATGCCTTACTATACTATGACGTTTTAATGCCTTATTTTAGTATGACATTTTATGCCTTACTATATTATGACGTTTTTGTTACGCTTTATGCCTTGATATACTATGACGTTTTCATGCCTTACCATACTATGACGATTTTATGACCTTTTATGCCTTAATATACTATGACGTTTTCATGCCTTACTATATTGTGACGTTTTTGTGCCTTACTATACTATGACGATTTTATGACATTTTATACCATGACGTTTTCATGAGATTTTTATACCTTACTATATTATGACGTTTTTATGACATTTTTTACCTTATAATACTATGACGTTTTATGCCTTACTATACTATGACATTTTTTGCCTTATTTCACTATGACGTTGTATGCCTTACTATACTATGACAATTTTATGACGTTTTATGCCTTACTATACAATGATGTTTTTAGGCCTTACCATACTATGACGTTTTTATGCCTTATTATAGTATGACAATTTATGCCTTACTATATTATGACATTTTTGTTACGCTTTATGCCTTAATATACTATGGCGTTTTCATGCCTTATTATAGTATATTTTATGCCTTACTATACTATGACGTTTTAATGCTTTATTATAGTATGACAAGTTATGCCTTACTATACTATCACAGTTTTATTACATTTTATACCTTACTATATGATGACGTTGTATGCCTTACTATACTATCACAGTTTTATTACATTTTATACCTTACTATATGATGACGTTGTATGCCTTACTATACTATCACAGTTTTATTACATTTTATACCTTACTATATGATGACGTTGTATGCCTTACTATACTATCACAGTTTTATTACATTTTATACCTTACTATATGATGACGTTGTATGCCTTACTATACTACGAGGTTTTTATGCCTTACTATACTATGACGATTTTATGACGCTTTATGCCTTACTATACTATGACGTTTTAATGCCTTATTATAGTATGACATTTTATGCCTTACTATATTATGACGTTTTTGATACGCTTTATGCCTTGATATACTATTTTAATGCCTTATTATAGTATGACATTTTATGCCTTACTATATTATGACGTTTTTGATACGCTTTATGCCTTGATATACTATGACGTTTTCATGCCTTACCATACTATGACGATTTTATGACATTTTTATGCCTTAATATACTATGACGTTTTCATGCCTTACTATATCATGACGTTTTTGTGCCTTACTATACTATACTATGACATTTTATACTATGACGTTTTCATGAGATTTTTATACCTTACTATATTATGACATTTTTATGACATTTTTTACCTTATAATACAATGACGTTGTATGCATTACTATACTATGACAATTTTATGACGTTTTATGCCTTACTATACTATGACGTTTTTATGCCTAACTATACTAAGACAATTTACTATATGATGACGTTGTATGCCTTACTATACAATGACACTTTTAGGCCTTACCATACTATGACGTTTTTATGCCTAACTATACTAAGACAATTTACTATATGATGACGTTGTATGCCTTACTATACAATGACACTTTTAGGCCTTACCATACTATGACGTTTTTATGCCTAACTATACTAAGACAATTTACTATATGATGACGTTGTATGCCTTACTATACAATGACACTTTTAGGCCTTACCATACTATGACGTTTTTATGCCTAACTATACTAAGACAATTTACTATATGATGACGTTGTATGCCTTACTATACAATGACACTTTTAGGCCTTACCATACTATGACGTTTTTATGCCTAACTATACTAAGACAATTTACTATATGATGACGTTGTATGCCTTACTATACAATGACACTTTTAGGCCTTACCATACTATGACGTTTTTATGCCTAACTATACTAAGACAATTTACTATATGATGACGTTGTATGCCTTACTATACAATGACACTTTTAGGCCTTACCATACTATGACGTTTTTATGCCTAACTATACTAAGACAATTTACTATATGATGACGTTGTATGCCTTACTATACAATGACACTTTTAGGCCTTACCATACTATGACGTTTTTATGCCTAACTATACTAAGACAATTTACTATATGATGACGTTGTATGCCTTACTATACAATGACACTTTTAGGCCTTACCATACTATGACGTTTTTATGCCTAACTATACTAAGACAATTTACTATATGATGACGTTGTATGCCTTACTATACAATGACACTTTTAGGCCTTACCATACTATGACGTTTTTTAGACCTCACTATACTA